CACAAGGAAACTTATTAGTGAAGCTGACAGAAAATAAGTCACTCTGGGTCCCACCAATTTTTTTGCTGTCCATGGTTACTCTGTTTCTTCATTTAGGTAAGAAAATACCTGTGAAATGATGACCCAAAACTGATTAATGATTGTCTTGTTCCTTTGTATAATCCCAATTATGCATCTGAAAACTTTATATCATACTAAATGTCTTTGTTGTATTCTTTTCTATCTGGAAAAAGACAATGTTTTAAAGTTTTGCTAATAAAATAGTGCCAACAGCTTGCTGTTATCTCATCCTTGTGCAGCTGCAGTGGTAGGTTAGAGGCCAGCATCCCAACACATTTAACTTTCTAGAAAGCAGCATTGATTAGGTAAAATTTGGAAGAGTATGCCTATCAGAATCAGTGCTTTATCTCAGTTTCAGAGAAGACACTGGGCATATTACTTATTTATTGTAATTTGTTTCTGGAAAAAAAAGCCTGTGGCTATAGCAACAAAAAGCAAATGAAAAAAATACCGTATATTCCGGTGTATAAGACGACTGGGTGTATAAGACGACCCCCAACTTTTCCAGTTAAAATATAGAGTTTGGGCTATACTCGCCGTATAAGACTACCCCTCTTCCAACGCACACCAAATAAAAATTAAAAAACATCAGATTTGATTTCAATATGGTAATTTTAATTCAAATGCTTATGACATGCAGGTATTTAGCAGGAAAACTGTCACTTATAAACATAAGGCTGTTTGTCATCAAACATGTAAACATAAAACAGTACAAGTGGATTAAACTTTTCCTAATTCACTCTAAAGCTGAAAGGAGGGATAAGACAATAAACCCATGGGAGCTGCCATGCTGTTTGTTTTCTAAGCTGTCAACCAAACTGGAACTGATGATGATAGGAGGAAGATAACAAACAATAGAGAGAGCAAGTGCCGGGCAAGTCCCTGGCGAGTCAGCAATGCCTATCATAACTGCAAGCTATTTTTACAGGTTTTGCTGGCGTGACACTTTGCCTTTAAAAGCCTTCAAAATCATCCTGTTCGTCATCTGATATCATAAAAATATCAATGACATCTTGTGATACATTTGTAAGGCAGTCATCGTATGGATCGAATTCCGTATCAGATGGTGTGGTCTCAGCTTCGGCTTCCTCTTCATCTTGCCACAAGTAGTCATCCTCCATACCATCTAATGAATTTGATATGCCACGCTTCTTGAAAGACTTGATTACTGTTTCTGCATCAATATAATTCCAGGCTTTTATCACAAACTTGCACAAAACATCCAACTGGAGCACGCATGTTTCCTCCTTTTGTGAATGACTTTTCGCCGCTAACTATCCATTCATTCCACTGTTCTCGAATGCGATGTTTAAATGGCTTGTTTAGGCACACATCCAGTGGCTGTACCAAAGATGTCAATCCTGCAGGAATAACTGCCGCATCTGTGTTTATACTTGCAAGCCTTTGCCTGGTGCTGGGAGTTAAATGAGCCCTGAACATATCCCACACCAGTAGACTACATTTTTGAATAAGTCTTCCTGGTCATCTCTCCATACATGATTAAGCCATAGCTTTACCCCTTCTTCATCAAGCCAGCCTTTTTCATTCACGTGTACAAAACAGCCAACAGGGAACTTGAGTTTCGGCATTGTTTTTCTTTTAAAAATAATCATTGGTCTCAGTTTGGCACCATCAGCTGTGCATACTAGTACCACTGTAAAACTGGACTTCTCATGTCCTGCTGTTTTAATTAAAATTGTTTTTTCACCTTTTTGATGGACAGTTTTATTTCCAACCATATCAAAATTCATTGGAGTTTCATCCATATTTCCAATACTACTTAACGGATAGCCATGTTTAATGCACTGTTGTATTACGTATCGATGGAAACTAATTACTTTGCTATCAAGATCTGCAGGTAATTTTTGTGCAATTTCCGTCTTTTGCCTCAGTACCATATTATGCCTTTCCAAGAATCTAGTACACCAGGATACAGTGGCCTTAAATCTGTTGCTGTGATCTGGGTTAGATTTGGCCCACTGAAGTGCAAACAAACGTATTTTATTTCGTGTCACTACATAACTGTTTTGGCGATGCTCATTCACCATGTCTGCTACATGTTTTTCGAGTTCTGGCCAATGTGGGGTGCCTCTTCTTAGTGCACACTTACCCCTTGGCATACTCTTTAATGCTTTTTCATTTGTTTTCCAGTCCCGAACCATCTTTTCTGTTATTCCATATTGTCTTGCAGCAGCGCAGTTATTATGTTCCATGGCAAAGTTTACAACTTTAAGTTTGAAACTGGCTTCATATTTCTTTCTTCTTGCTGGTGGAGCCATGATGGGGTCTTGACTATTGGACATTTGTATACTGTACTGTATGTATTGGTGCTGTACTGTATGAACTGGTACAGATACTGGTGCTGTACTGTATGTACCCAGTATACAACAACCAGCCAATCATGGCAAGCAATGTACCTTACTGGTGATTGGCTGGTTGTTGTGTACAAAGCCTGCTTGGATTGGGTAGGTCAGCTCTCCCTGCCTGCCCAGCCCTCCCTGTCATCGTATAGGCCGTAGGGAAAAAATGGACAAGCTAATACACCCTTTCGCTGAAGAAGGGGAGAGGGAGGGGGGAAAGGGAGCAAAGTTTTCTGAGTTCTCATTGGTCACCTGTAAGCCCAAATGAGTAGCTCAGGGTGTGTGCGTGGGCGTGTATGCATGTGTGTGACTCCCCGGGTCCCTTCTGTTGCCCCCCCCCAGTAGCGAGCTCTGGCTTGGAGCAAGCGGGCTGAGCACCGGGATCTCCTCCTCTTGGTCTTCCACCCCGCAAATCCTCCACAGCCTCCCCGAGCCGAGCTCCCCCCTCCCCGAGTTTGGTGGGATATACTCGCAAAGCTCCCCCCCCCATTGAGATGACGGATTAGGATATGGAGCTGGGAGCGAGCGGAAAGCCTGCCTGTTTGTGAGCCAGGAAACTTCGGGGCTCTGCCTTGTCAATCGCACACACACTTTGATGAAAATTGCCCTACCTGCAAAAGGACTTCTCGGCAGTTTTTTAAAGCAACACTACCAAGAATGAAATTGGCAACAGCCAGAATGTTTAGGGAAGAAGGAAAGGAAGCAGTTAATAAACCGAGTAAGAAAGGCATTCGCCCTTCGAAAACTTGCATTTCCACAAATGTGATAAGTTGCCCCCTTTTCAGGTAATGGGGGGGGGGAAGTAAATGCTTTCAATTTTGGCTTTCCTTTTAATTTATTAAAACTCAGTGCACTACAGTACTTATTGACAGGAGTCAGATTGACCAGCCAGGATCTGTCATAAATAACACCACAAATGCACCATGCAAGTTTATTTAGGCAGGGGGAAACCGCTGGCATAAGCTTGGTGGAAGTCGACGGGCAAAAGGACCGTGTAGCTGTTTTCTGTCCCCCCTCCATTCCTGCTTTGTAAATCCGAGAGGAATTTAGCGGACACCCCTCCCCTTCCAGACCCATAGCCTCATCCTCCTTCCTCCCTACCGTGTGGGGCGCGAGGAAAGAGGGAATGCCTTGCGCCGCCTACCTCCGCCGCCAGTCGCACGCTCAGTATGAGCCGGCACTGCATTCCCCATGATCATCTCCTACTGCCCCGCCTCCTTTCAAGCTCCGCCTCCTCCAAGCTACTCCCACCGGGGGTGAATGGTAAACACTGAAAAGGCCCCGGAGAAAGAAGCACTGAGAAGTGCCTTGAATGGACACAGATGCTTAGGTTTGTTTTCATTATATAAAAAAAAACCACCCTACAACTCTTTTCCCCCCTTCCCCATTACATGGGCCATCCCTTTCTATTCCTTCGAATGAATTAATTACAGGACGGCCACTACCAATCCGCAGTTCTGGAGGGGTGGGCAAGGGATTGGGATGGCGAAGGAGAGGGAAGGAGGAGGCGGTATGCAATGTAGCATTACAGAATGGGGAATAAACCTCCAGGAAATCTTACTGTCACGACAGCCAGATAATGCCTATCGTACTCCCAGTATAGAGGCTGGAAAAAGATATCTTTAGTTGATTGGCTGGTTTTAATAATAATAATAATCTAGGACTCTTTTTGAGCGAGAGAGAGGGGGGAAGAGAAAACTTGATGAGTAATATGCCAAACCACATGTGTAAAGGAAAAAAATAGAATACCCATATTTTCCGGCTTATAAGATGACTGGGCATATAAGACGACCCCCGACTTTTGAGAAGATTTTCAGGGTTTAGAAAGTCGTCTTATACACAGGAAAATACGGTATTTCATATATTGCTGTTCTATCAAACTATATCAGATTAGGGAGATTTCTTTCTAGGGTAGCTCCATAAGCCAAATAACCTTCAACAGGACATTTGTTATTGAATAGAATAGTATATACTTTGTTTTATTTAAACCCTAACATATACACAAACTCATCTTCAAATGAAGCTAGTTATTATCAAATAATTAGTTTAAATCCCACTGAAGATTTGTTTTGCATCAGACAGATTTAAAGCAAGGATACGCAATACTTAAGTAGAGGCAAACAATATGCAGTACTATTTGGGTCCCAAGCATCCTGAGGTCATGTCACTGAAATTCACTGGTAAACTTGCTGAATTCTGATAGAGGAAGTTCAGCCCATTTCCTGAACATTCGGTGGTTTTAGGATAGAAATTCAGGCAAGTTCTCTGGGAAGCCTCCAATTCCCACCCTCAAAATCCATAAAAAGGGAAGTTGAAAATATTTGACCATGCTTCAGGGATTCCAGATAGTCCCTATCCTTAAAGTCAGCAAGCTGCTCACCAACTTCAGCAACTTGGGATTAGAACTTTTTTTTTAACTCAAACTTTCACAAATCTTTACCTCTTGTCATTACAGCCTAGTAACTGCAAATTATTGTCCTAAATATTATGAGCATGTATTTGTCTCTTGACTTAAAAGAACGCAATCTCTAATTATGGTCCTAAGCAGCAACCTATGACTGAAGAAAGTAATCCACTAGATTTAGAAACCTAATAAACATTTATTAATCATTTATATGGCCATCCATCTTATAAGAACATGACTTACATTGTAAAGCAATAGCTATTAAACAAAATATGCATATACAGTCTTGATTTTTTGAGTTACTTCTGACAGATTTAGACCAATAGTCTTTCAATAGATTGTTGGACAGAATTAATTTGAGGCTTGAGTTGTGAGCCTTCTTTGATAGTAATGGAACAGGCAATAACAGGCCGAGAAACACCACATGCCCGTCCTAAGGCTTGCTTGGAACGCACAAACACATAGGGCACATTCTTGTCTTCACAAAGTAGTGGGAGATGAAGGATAATTTCAAGAGGTTCAGCATCTGCAGCCATCACAATGAATTCTGCAATTCCTCTATTCAAAGTTTTAGTGGCTGTGGAAAGGGAAATCAATATAATTACTATCAGGCACTCATGCAATAGTATTCTATAGTTCATTGTGCTCTTTTGCTTCAAGATTTGCGTTCATCTTAATCAAATATACTTTCAACTATCTTTCACGTGGGATTTGTCTAGTGGTTATATTACTGAAGAAATAGCTTAATGCTTGCAAATCAAAGAATTGAATATCTGTCTGCATCTGTCTGAGGGCTTCAATGTATGAGTACAAGTTCTCACCTAAACATATGGCAAGTTAAATACTTTTGGGGAACTGACCTACCTTAGAAAGGGCATAATACAAACCAGTATATTATGCAGCATTTCAAATATTTCCCATGTGGAGACTTTAACAACGAAAGCAAACACCGATATTGTGAATGCTCTTTCAAGTTTTATTTTATTTTTATTCATTTTATTTTTATTTTCAGTGCTTCTGTCTGATGCCAATTATTTGTGTTCAGGAAATACCAGTAATAGGCTACCACTAAGGAGCAGTACCAATATGTTTAAGGATATATTTAATTAAGGGTCAGAACTGACTTCCTGTAACCATCATCTCGACCATCTGGTAATAACTGGTAGAGCTGTTCCTCTTTATTTCCTTTCCACTTACTAAGCGCAATACATTATCTAATCCATCATTTGTCAACTTTTATTTGGTTTAGCTGTTAAATTCTTGTAGTTTGCTGAGTTCTTATGACTATCTTCAAACATACTGAATTCTGAATTAAGTAATGTATTTTAAATGTTTTTGATTACTTTGGGCAAAGTATTTAAAAGGATACACCCCCCCCAAATATCCATATAATAACATTTTGATAAAAATGTTAAAGGCACATTTTTAAAGGCAGATTTCACCTTCGTTGGCTCCTTTGCGTAATTGTTTGTAGTTACAAGACTGCTGTACAAGATCCAGTAGTGTCTTGGTGAGTTGAGCATCAGCAAGAGGATAAGCTTTTGGATTTACTTCTGCCTCCGTCTGTAGAAAAATATCAGAATTTGAGCTACAGAAAACAGCATTTCTTCCTCAACTGGCTATCTAACTATTTTAAGGAATATAACTGTATTTGTGCCAGGTGAATCTTCCATTATCCGAACTGTTGTATTTTCTAATTCCCTTTCATTAGCAATCTCCAAAAGTCATTTTGAAAAACTTTCCATTTTTTCACTATAACATATTCAAGAGCAGGTAGACAATGGCAAGGATTTTTCCCTAGACTTTCTGTTGAAATTGCAGCCTTATCTGAAATAGGATATCCTGAAAATAGTCACTCATGCAGGTCATCGCTAGATTTATTTTAGACTACTGGTATCACTCACTGAATACGGGATGCTCTTGAACAGTGGTTCTCAACCTTTTTTTGTGGTGACTCCGTTCATAAGGGCGCAGCGCGAATGCGCAGCGCGCACGCGTGCCGACGCCCCCATGCGCGGCGGCGCCCCCATGCGCGGCGGCGCCCCCATGCGCGGCGCACACATGTGCGGCGTCCGCATGCGCAGTGCGCATGCGCGCATGGCGCACATGCACGGGGCCACCAGCTGACCAAAAAAAGGCGGATCGCGTTGTTTGGCGACCCCCGTGAAATGGTCGTTCAACCCCAAATGGGGTCGCGACCCACAGGTTGAGAACCGCTGCTCTTGAAGATCTCCCCAAACTTCAGCTTGTCAGAATGATATTGATCAATGGTCAGTCAAGAGTGTCATGTTACACCTTAGTACAGAAACTGCACTTATTACTAAATGTTTCCAAATGCAATACAAGGTAGCAGTTATGATCCACGAAGTCCTACAGCTTTGGGCTTTAGGGATCACCTTTTCCCACAAATTCTTCTGATTCTATCAGAATCACTAGGGAGGACCTAGTAAAAGTCCTTGCCCCCCTTAGGAGAGGGCCCAGCAGCATTTTCCATCACACCTCATCTTGAGAAAGGGAAGACACCTTCCCCCCCCCATCTTCACTTTCTGAAAGCAAGTGAAAACACAGCTGTTTCAGATCTTTAAGGATTAATTGTACCAGAGGCACTTTATTTAATGTTTAATATACTACCTTTAACAAAAAAATTAAATCAAGCCTTAATTGGATTGCCATTTTAATATATTGACTTGCATTTATATTTAAGTTCTGCAAGCTCCCTAGAGTTTATTTCAAGCAGTAGACAAACCTGATAAATATGAATAAATACTACCAAAATGTACTAGCTCCCATTCTTGAGTACAGAGTTTGATCTAGCATCTACAGACAAACACACACACACACACACACACACACACACACAGCCATGAAGGAAACGGATTTATCTGAATCCTGCTATAAATACTTGAGTATTTTCAGAGAAAGCTGTTAGGAGAACAAAGTAGGTTATCCTATTATGCATTTCATATTCAATAGCACAATGATAAAAATAAAAAATCCATCGCAAAAGCACCGATACTTGTGGCATGAGAATTAATATTCCAACCTCAGCATAATAGTAAACACACTGGGATTATTCCAATGAGCAGGGTAATTAAAAAGTAACAGAGGAAGGTGCCGGGTGCTGCATGTAAGGAGTCTTGCTTAGCATGTGATTTCATTGGTGCTTGTATGGAAACGGAGGCTAAGCGTGCCGGGCTAAGCGTCCTCCGCGTGGTCTCCTGGGCTCGGGCTCTCCACGCTGCCCAAGTGCTATCAGTTTCGGCATTTTCACCCCCAACTAGCGCCTTTGCTTTCCGCAACGTCTGGATTTGGCCCACTCACCATTTCTGCTAAGTAGACGTTTCACCCGGAGATTCTGTTCTGGATCCCCTCGGCCCGAAAGCTTCACGGAGGAAAAATGTGAAATACGCCGATACATAAGATACACGCGCTCCTGGAAGTGACGTTGGGAAAGAGCGGCCGTCTGCAGGAAATAGGATGCTGATCTCAAAGATTTCTCAGCTCCCGCAAGTGCGACCTCTACCTTTGACTGATTGTTACAGAAAACTCGCGTAGAGAAGTGGCTTCGACCTAAAATATTGATCGTGTTCAGATTCCTTAACGGTGACGTTTACTGAACCTAATGGACCGTTTCCACGTTCACTCATTAGCAATTGTCATTTATACACAACTGTTAATTACATTTACAAGTACATGATTTGATTGATATAGCATCTAGTTTCAGCAACAATAAAAATATTATGTATTGTTTTTTTAATAGGTTAAAGATGACCCGCTTAGCAGTTCTTCCCTGCTGGGGAAGGCTGGACTTAAAAAGTCTATGGAGATTCTCAGTCTCCATTAGAGAATTGAAACGTCTTAAAAAAAAACAAAGTCCAGTGTCTCTTGAAAAACCACCTTTGAGGCTGGACTTAAACTGGGTGAATGGGGGCTTGAACGGCATTTCTGTAGCTTGAACTGAGAGATTATTCGCTGTATCAAATGAATTAAAACACTGCTAACAAATAATTGTCCAATCCGTGTCCAAATGTTATCTTGTATAGATATTAGAACAACTGTCTAGTGCTGAATGCTAGATCTAAATTCATTCATCAAAATTTTCTGTATGTGACAAACTGAGAAATTATCCATAACATAGTGTGATAGCAATTATATTGTTTTTTTAATCTCTCTGTTTTTAAGCAACTGGCAGAAATTAAGCAGGTACAATGTACTGAGGGTAACTCATTAAATACTTGAAACAATGAAAAAGCATATGTCTCTACCATCTGATTATACAAGTAGCATAATCTTTAGTTCTTTTGACAACATAGTTTTGTGCGTGGTTTATACAGTACATGAGTCCTGGAAAATGTGGTATTGTTGCCTAAGGATGTATTGGACCACCTGGAAATTGAAGTGCCACATACTTGGAAATTATCAAAGCAATGAAACCTGGCATGAGATTTTAATTTATAGCACATTTTTCTTCCCTCTACAAACAGTGCTCATTGTCTGAAACAAACAGGAATATTTGATAAAAATAATAGTCAAGTTATACAACTGTATATAACTTGTCATTAGAAAGCAGCACAAGGCATTTAGAGATGCTTGTTGAACAAGTGACACACAATGCATTTCTGAGTAAATATGCTTTAGAGTATGCTATATTAGGTAATCATTTAGTATTTATTTAATGCATATATTGAACAATAAAAACATCAACATATATTTCTTAAATTAAATCCTATCTTTTAATTATAGTCCTGTTGTGTCTTTGTACCATAAATACAAATATGCTCTGTTACCATTTTTTCTGCTATGGTCCCCATGATGTTACCTTCATCTTGTCCTGCCTAGTCTAACCCAGGTCAAAAGCATCCTCAATGTGTATTTAGGTTTTATTATCTCTCATCTTGAAATCAGGTATGACTGTTGTGACTTGAAACAGAAGCACTAGAAGGATTCACAATATGACAGCAAATTTCATAACGCATGCTGCATTTTTTTTACAGATTCAAGGATTGATGGATAATAGTATCATTTTGTACAGGGAGAAGACCCTTAACATCTAAGAAATCACCACAAACCAAATCAAACACCAGGCTAACCTACTAATGGAGAAACAGCCACCTTAATAAAGAGCTAGTGCTGAAAGCACGATTCCCCCCGTCCGCTTGCCCTTCGGGCACTGTCATCGGGATCACCATAGCAACTGATGGTGATTTTGCAACGCGCTTGCGTTAAACTATCCCGCCAAATTTGTACCCTCTTGTCTTCAGTTGCCACTGTGTATGGAAGAGCATGTGAGGCGGCGAGATGGCAGGCTTCGCCTCAGAGCCTTTAGTCTGCGAGCGGTTCCACTCGCGGCACGACCTTCACTGGCTGCTGGAGTTTTTGCCTTCGCCGCTGTGCTTGGCCTGCGCCATTGAGACGCTGAAGGAGGACCGGGTCTCGGTATGTGCGCCAGCGTACTGGCTTTGAGACTGAATCACATTCCCCATTTTCCTCTTCGTGTTCTCGCTCTTCATTGTTCCGCGTCAGTTCACAATTCTTCCTGTTCTAAGTTCAAAGAATCAGCTTCATAAAGAAGCAATGGGACGTGTGTGTGTGTGTGTGTGTGTGTGTGTGTGTGTGTGTTTGAATGGTCATTTTTTTTTAGTCGGACGTGTTTTTTTAGTTATGAAGTCCGTTAGAGAACAAATACATTGTCTTTGGAATAGCAACATTATAAACTAAAAAGAAAATGCTTACATAAAATCAGCATTTGTAACTGTTTACTTGCTCGCTCTACTAACTCTTGGCTATAAAATGTTTCTTTTTAAATGGGATGAGAGAGAGAACATTGTAATATTAACATAACCCTGACAGGTCCTGGCATATGGAAATTATTCTGCCTCCATGGGTTGTTGATTTCTGAGTTCTAGCTCAGGGAGAAATAGCAGGTAATGATAATATAGTTTTCTGTATGAGAAATAAAAAAGGCCAAATTATTCTCAAATATACCCAGATATATTTTACAGCACAGTCCTAATCATGTTTACTTAAGTACTGCTATTTTCCTTGGGATTTATTTCTTGCATTAAATGTGAAAATGTGTTATATTTTGCATTATATGTGATCCAGCTTTAGGTTTGTATGCTCTCTGTTCCTTAATAAACTTGCCTGAATCTGCTACTGTGTTTAATACAAATAGTAAACAAAATTTAATAAATAATAAACAGTTAATAAATAAATTGTTTATAAATAATGTTATTAGAGCAATTAATATATTATAGAAGGTTGCAAAAGATGATCATATGACCTCAGGAGACTGCAATTGTCATAAATATAAACCAGATGCCAAGTGTCTGAGTTTTGATCATGTGATCATGGGGATGCTGCTATAGTCATAAAAATGAAAATGGTCAAAAGTCACTATTTTCAGTGACAGAAATACACACACACACACACACACACATTCATGACATGAGGAAGGGAATTGTTTTACTGTATGTTCTTTTATATACTGGTTTATCAAACTGTACTACTGTAATTCTTGATTTAGTCTTTATTTTTTTTGAGTTTAATGTAAATTTAGTATTCAAGGAAATGGGTTCCTTATACACTCTTAGGTTAAGACTACTCGTTTTCAAATGTAACTTTATTTTTGCTTTTTATGACATTCATTGAGACTTTCCCCAGTTAAAACTATCATGGCACAAATTTGACTTGACAATATTTTTTTTCTGCCATGTCCCCATGACTTTGCCTTCATTTTAGCCTTAGGCCTTGTGAGAGAAGTTTAGGACATCCTTTATCAAATGGCCATCTAAAGTATATAAAATCTTTTCAATTGAAATTACTAGATTATACGATTGATTGTTATGATATGATGTGTTCCATACAAAATGGATAAGTAAGGCAGAAGATAGGGGGGAAATTCTGAAGTTTTCACTTCTTTGATCCTTTCAAAGGAAATTAACAGTTTTGGGCTGAAAAAGTATGAATACAGGCTTACAGGAGAATTAAGGTGTTCTTATGTTTCCTCTTAACAATTTTTGTAATTTTCCCTTGCTAACATTTAGCTAATACGCAAGAAGCATGTGGTATCTTGTCTCCGAGATGTTCTGACTCAGCATGCAACAAAAGTTATCCCCTTGTTCGTTCAGAATGAAAGAATATGTGCTTATTTTATAGCAACTTTGTTTGGTAAGAGAACATCAAACACATTCAACATGTTCTTCTGCAAGAATATTTTAATTTTTTTCAGCACAATTTATTTTGTGAATCAGAATGACTAAGATGGGTTTTTTGGCCAAAATAGACATATTAAATAGTTGATTTGATATTTGATAATTAGTTTTTTTTCTTCTTCAATGAAAAATACCACAACGAAAAGAATAAGAATAAAGGATGTGGCCTTTGAGGAGATTGTATTAATTAAGAGCTGTGGTGGCACAGTGGTTAAAATGTAGTATTGTAAGCTAATTCTACAACTGCCAGAGTTCGATTTCCACCGGCTCAAGGTTGACTCAGCCATGTGCCCTTCCCAGGTTGGTAAAATGAGGACTCATTGTTGGGAGCAATATGCTGACTCTGTAAACTGCTTAGAGAGGGCTATAAAACATTGTGAAGCAGTATATAAAATTAAGTGCTATTAATAATGCAGGCTTAATTTTTAGGAACATTATAAATATTTTAAATTTATGTTAAATCATTTGAATCCTTAGAATGAACTAAATATATCCTACATTTATATGTATTTACTTTTAGTAATCCACAATCAATATATTTACTTCTGTTGTGGTATTATTCAATATTTTGAACATACGAAGTGTGTTAACATTTGACTTAAAAAAGGATACCTCTCCCACATATTATAATTAGTAGGTTACAGTTCTATAAAAAACAATGCAAGATGTTTCCTGAATCTAGTGTTAAATCATATGTGATAATCTTTAGAATGTTGAAAAATGGTGAATTGGATCTAAGGATTCTCATATCTTCTGTTCAAGAACATCCAAGCTAACAGGCCTCTAATTTCCTTTATTCTTCATTCATCCCTTTCTAAACATTATATTAGGGTATTCAGCAAGACTTTGTTCTTTAGCAGGTTACTGAAAAATATATAAATGTAGGAAAGAAAGCTAATTGTAAATGTGCTGATTCAGAGAAAGTGTAACATAAAGTGAATAGTCTTGATTTATGGAATGTGAAGCCTGCTTGTTGAATGAGATAAAAGTGATATAAGATGGAAGTAATCATGCATGAAAATACATGGAATTCCTGATGAATGGTTGTTTAACACTGAGCAATGAGTAATAATAATAACAATATAATAATAATAATAAAAATAATAATAGTAGTAGTAGTGGTAGTAGTAGTAGTAGTAATAGTAGTAATAAAGTTGGAAGGGACCTTGGAGGTCATCAAGTCCAACCCCCTGCTCAGGCAGGAAACCCTGTACCATTTTGGACAAATGGCTGTGGTTCTTCAATGTGTTTATGGAGACAGAATATATAGCAACATGAAGATAACATGATAGTTGAGAATGTGAATTACTTACAGCAAAGATTAGATAAATTACATGATGCAATGACGAGAATGGATCTGAAAATTAAAGTACCAAAGAACAGAAAGAAAGTAATAAATGATTGTAAATGACAATTTACAATTTATAAGTTCCTAAAAAGTGAGATGTTGACAAGTTGTTTTTTTTTAAAAAAAGGCTATGTTTATTAGTGTATGGCTATGACAGAAGCTGAAGTGGTTTTCATGGATTAAAAGATACGGAGAGAGATAGTAAATTAGATTGATACGATGCAAATTAAATTTAGCTACCTTTCCCTTTGTGTGTGTGTGTGTGTGTGTGTAGTATATATATTGATTTACTATTTCTTGCTCCTTTTCTATATTCTGCATAAAGCTGCTTACCTGAAAACAATAGCATCACGATTATATATGTATGTTTCCTCATTAGTAAGTGCAGTGAAGATTGCAGATCATTATTTTTCCAAAAGATGATTCTCACTCTATATACTTCTATAGGGATCTTACAAATTGTAGAAGACAGCAGTATCCTGGATTTACTTATTGAAGGTACGGTATATATAAAATGGGGAGCTTGAATTACTTTATTGTCTGTGTGATGGTAGGAAGAGCAATTAATGTTTAGTGTTGTATGAGGAGATGCTATGCAAATGCCAGTAAATTTCTTTTGAGGTTTAGATTTGGATTATATTTTGTTTTTCAACACAACATTCAGCTTAAATTATATAAAGACATTTCTAAGGAGTATTCTCAATAAATCATGTTTTATGAAAGTATCTTATTTTGAAATTCCTCATTTGTAGAATAATTTATAATTTATAATACCTAGTACTATAGGTATTTAGCTTTCCAAAAATCTTCTCAGGCCTATTTGAGAATGCACTATTGGAATCATATTGTCAGTTTATAAAAGAATATTAATATATTTATCAAGGATCGTTGGCATGTGAGTATCTGGAGCATACAAGAATCCTGGAATATTGTTAATATAGAGTTTAAAAAGCATTGGGGCTAGAATACAACCCTGTCTAATGCTTTTATGGGTAGGTATACTTGGATGTCTGAAAATAGCCCAGTCTTGTTTTCTATAACATACATAGCCTAAAACACTGCTAGCTTTTCCTGAATGATATGTAAAAGGATACATACAAAATCTTTATCTACTGAAATGTGATTGTTACATTTATACATCAAGGAGGTCAGTTGTGAGCTTGCCATATTTCTTTTGAGGTCTGTAGAAAATTGAATAGAACTGGACCAAATCTAATATACAAGGAGAAACCAGCAAAACAAAAAATTGAGTTAAAAATGAGCAACATAATGTTGTGGGCTATGGAGAAAAACTTGCTAAAAAAAATCCTACACTGCATCCCTGTGGGAGACGCAATTGGGCAGTGGCTAATAAATTTGTATATAAGCCCCTATTCTTATTTCTGGTCATGTAACAGAGATTGGAATGTATGCAGATGCTCTGTTCTTCCTAGGGCACTGATGCACACAGATGTGAGGGAAGAATAGAAACAAAAACAGATTACAGAGATGCATTACATCCCCCCAAAATTGTCCCTCTCAGCCATTGCTGGTAAAGTGGTTAAGAATTCTGAAAGTCATGCTCTATATACAATCCCTATCATTATGTATATGAGATATTATTATTCACATTTACTTTAATATATATATAATTATTTTCTGGAAAAACTACAATAAAAATTGTTCAGTGTAAAATTGATCAAAACTGATTGTGGTATATGTGTCAAATATAGTGAATAAACTGAGTATTTTTTTTCTTGCTGTGAACAGTATTAGTACAGTTGGTAGTAGAGCTGAAATTGGAGAGGTATCTACATTATCTATTGGATGAATGTCAGAAAGAGGTTTGTATCTTCCATTTTGGAGTAATGTGATTTTCAGTAACTGAAGTAAGTTGAAAAATAAGTGATTTTTCTAGTTTATAAAAATATTGATTTTTATGAAGGATGAATGGAAGATCAATGACACCAATGGCATTGTGATAGTAACCTGTTTATTTATGTATTGAATTTATATGCATCCATCTCATGGTTTGAGCAAATCTGGGCGCTTACAATGTAATAAAACATACAGATATTAAAAATAATTATAAATACAAAAACAGATTAAAATTAAAAAAGATTAAGGATTAAAAGACCATAGATTTGGAGCAGGGAATTGGTGATGTCTTCTCTGTCACTGCACTGCACCAGCCATCTCCACCTACAGTTTCTCCTTCAGATCCCCACACCAACCAACATAGCCAGGTTTTGAAGCTCTTCCTGAAGACCAGAAGAGTGGGGCTGGATCTCTCCTCTCGCAGCAAGATGTTCCAATGCGTGGGGGTCGTGGCACAAAATTCCTTGGCTAATGGGGTCCACAGTAGGCCCCTTTTGCCAGAATAAATGGGGTAGGCCAATTTCATTGGGGCAGAACAGTTCCTCAGATATTCTGGACCCATGCCATACAGGGTTTTAAAGGTAATGACCAACACCTTGAATTGGATTGGGAAGCAGATTTGCAGTTCACATAAAATTTGTCACCCTAGGGGCCTCCAGAACTATCCCTATTGCTGCATTTATTTATGGATGGAAATATATATAAATGTCATTTATGTAGCTTGTAGCTGACACCACTTAGGAGTTTGTGTCTTCTGGAACCTGCTGCATCCCAGGATCACGTGACCACAAATTTGTAACTTTTTTTGTCATTTGCAAGCAGAACTTTCCTCAATTTGTCTTAAGAGGGATGATCTAGGGCAGGGGTCTCCAAACTTGGCAACTTGGGACTTCAACTCCCAGAATTGTCCAGCTAGCTTGCACAAATCTTAAAGTTGCCAAATTTGGAGACCCCTGGTTTAGGGTTAAATGAGTTTAAAAGCTTACTTAGGATTGTGGGAATGTATCTGTGAAATGCTTGTTGACTCAATATGTCTTTGTATTCTGATCAAAAGAATTGCATGGAGAATGATTTTGTGTGTATCAAGTAGCCCTTTAGAAGAATGGCAGCAAAGGAAAATAGTTGATTAAAGAGAAAGAAGCAAATTGCAATGATTTCCATACTGTAGCTAGTCTTCTAAATTGTTTGATTTGCTTCCCCCAACTCCAATAGTTATGCAAGATAGCAACAACAAGAAATAGTTTGCCTGTATTTATTCTTCTTGGAAAGTTGGCAGATGTTATTCCATTGTTTGCTGATACTTTAGTGATGGAACATAGTAAGTATTACAGGTGAATTTCAACTATACAGTGATTATATTATGAACTCAATGAATAATAAAAATATTTTTTTCTTGATATCCCACAGAATAATTTTAGCAGCAAAAAAGAGAATTAAAACAAATTTCAACCTCTGAAAAACTATTAGCAAGATAATTTGCTCTTGATAACTTGGTAATCAACTGGTGGTGAATGTCCCTGTAGAAGTGGGATAAATTAAAACATTGGCTGTGGTTTTTCTCATATCCATATGAAAGGGCAGAATTGGGTTTCATATCGGATTTTCCTATATTTCCCTTCCAGCTGTGGGAAGCATATTAAACTGAGCTAAAGATAAGGCTGTCCTAAATTGAGGAACTGTGATATGATATAAATAGGCTGGTTTAAATACTAACATTTGGTTATTTGCTGTTGCAATAAGAACTTTGCCTTAGTATTACTCTAGCTTGATCTGATTCTAAAGTTAAGACTGAATCACTGGAGAAACCATAGAGGCTCAGTTTCTTTTGGATCAATATTTCCCAAGAAGATTCATTGTCTGCCTGTAGATTCAGCTGTATTTCACACTGTCTGTATTATTAGTATAATATTTTCTAAGTTACTTTGTTGAAAGCAAAAGTTTTAGATTCTCATCTTGAAGATCTCCTATCCTTTGCCAAATAATTGTTGAAAGAGAACCAGGGTTCTTTCTTGAGATTAAAGATTTGCACAATGTGTGAAATCATGTGACTTTTCAGAACTTGGTTTCAATGATTATTTTTTTTCTGAACTTTTCTAACAATACTTCTGTTTTCTCATTACACCTGCTTTTCTACTTTCTTTAACATGTAACCTGATTGAGCATCTAGCTGCAGGCTTGATGTACCCCAGCGAGAGGATAAAAGCTGCTGTGTGTTATCTTTATGGCAAACTGTATACTGTCCCCAGTGCTGCAGAGCAGTTGTCTGTTCATTTCACAGATAAACTTAATAGCCTTGTTCTGACCACTTTGAAGAATGCTCAGACCATGGAACTGCAACTTAACTCTGTGGGTAAGAGTTAGAAGGTTACAAGAAGGATTTTTCATAATTGTTAAGGATAATTTTTATGTACAACAACAATCCTATTTTGGAGAATGCTGAATGTTTGGAAAAAATGGAAAATGTTTTTAAAATACAGCATAAATTGTCAATGTAAGTGTAAGGTTTTCCACTTAGCCTTACAATTGTTCCAGCATTACTCAGGAATTTAAAAGAGCCAAAGAAACTCCTGAGCCGAGGTTTCAGCAAGCAAACAACTTTTATTTTGATCAAAATAGAGTTGGGTGACCCCATCTCTCTTCATGGCTGGTAGAGAGATGAAGGCAACTACCAGGAAAGATGTCTTCCACCTTTTATACCGTTTCAGAATAAAGAGATCAGGTCTTGGTACCAGGCATAAGATAGCACAAAAATATAATTCCTAGATGATGACTCATACACAGCAACCCAGGCTCCATCCGTAACTTCTTTTCCCCCCTCCCCTTATCGTGCTCTTTTCATGTAAGCAATCACCTGTACCTATAGCATGAAACATTTGCTTTTATATAACTAATTTCCCAATATAAAGTACTTACAAAACTGCTTGCATATAAAAAAAGATATATAGGTGTGTGTGTGTGTGTGAGTGTGTGTATAATGGTTACAAAATATCACTACTAATATCAATATTACTAATATCAAACTTAAGCATAATAAAATTCCTTCATAAGGATTTTGTTTTTTTGAATATTGAGCACATATCAAGTATCATCTGAACTGGAGATAAGGAATTTTCCTTGAAAAAACTGGGCTAGTGTTACGCGCATCCAGATTAAGTTCAGGCATATGACAAAAAGCTACAATAACTTTCACAGAAAGCAGCTTGATTTTAATTTCCCAGATGAAAATATATTTTTAAATAACACTATTATGAAGCATTGTATTGTTAGCTGCAGAGAATAAATATTAAATTGACTAGCTAAGACAAGAGACTCTAGATCAGTGGTTCTCAACCTTTATTTTTTATTGAAAAGTTTTATACAAATTATTACAATACAATAACCCTCCCTCCCCCCCATCCCAACTCTCCCCCCCTCACTTCCCAGAGCTGATTACAGGGTTAAAAATAAGCAAACAAATTCTAACTAAGCTTATCCAACTATACCAATAACCAAATCCCTAAAATACTTTAACTCAGATACAAACAACTCCCAATTTAAACTATAAATTACTCAAAAACTAAATGATACTTTCTAATCCCATATTTATTCTGTACAAAATTTATCCATCTTCTCCACACCGAGATGTATTTTTCTCGTGAATGATCCTTCAAATAGGCAGAAATTTTGGCCATTTCTGCTAAATTAGCAACTTTAAACGACCATTCTTCTATGGTAAGCAAGTCTAAAACCGAATGAATCGGTTGTGATGAAGTAACAACCAAGTCATCAGCAAAAGCTCTCAACTTATAATCCTTCTTATTTATCATTATTCCCTTTATTGTAGTTGACTCACGAATTTTTATTAACACAACAAACGAGATAACGGACATCCCTGTCTTGTACCTTTTCCAATTTGAAAGGCCTCTGTTAGTCCTCCATTAATTATAATCTGAGCCGATTGTTGTTGATAAATGGGCTTGCAGAAATTTATCCCCAAAATTCATTTCCTCTATCACTCTTAACAAAAATTGCCGATTTAACTGATCAAAAGCTTTTTCAGCATCTAAAAAAATTAAAGCTGCAGGAATCTGGTTATTTTTATCCAAATATTCAGTTAAGTTAACAATTTGTCTAACATTATTTTTCATATATCTTCCAGTTATAAAACCAGATTGATTAGTATGAATCACTTGCTTCAATACAAACATTAATCTATTTGCCAATATTTTAGAAAAAAAATTATAATCTATATTCAAAAGAGATATAGATCTATAATTTTTAGGTTGAGTAAGATCTTGATCTTCTTTTGGAATCAACGATATAAAAGCCCTTTTCCAAGATGGAGGTACCTCTGCACCCAATAATATACTATTAAAAAGTTCCTTTAATGGTTCTATCATCTCTTCAGATAATGTTTTGTAATAAATTGCTGCCAATCCATCTGCACCAGGTGCTTTACCAACCTTTAATTGTTTAATTGCCATAATAATTTCCTCAGAAGTAATTAAGCCATTAATCTCATCTCGTTGAGCATTTGTAAGCTTAGGAAAATGAGCTTCTTGTAAATGGTTCTCAACCTTTTTAATGCCGCGACCCCCAACCGGTCGTAAGTCAAGGACTAAACCGGTCATAGGTCGAGGACTAAACCGGTCGTAAGTCGAGGACTTTCCCTGCCCGGGAGCGCAGCGCATGTGTGGTGCCGCCCCCTGCGCCGGCCGAGGCGTAGCTGGCAAGCAGCAGAGATGGAGCAGGCCGACCACCAGCTGGCCTAGCCCAAGGGAGGTAAGGCACCCGCCAGAAAAGGGGAAAAAATGGCGGACAGCCTTGCTTGGCGACCCCTGTGAAATGGTCGATCGACCCCAAATGGGGTAGCAACCCATAGGTTGAGAACCGCTGCTGTCTAGATGTCTGTTGATGGCCAATCTGAGTGCCAGGCTTCCAAGAATTCTCTAATATGTTTGTACTTGACTTGGTAGAATACTCAGTTTGCCAGTTGAAACTATGGCTAAATCTTAAGAAAAATCAGTCATCAATAGGCACATAAAGACAGTGCTTTTTTTCTTTAAAAAAAAAAGGTACCGGAAGTCACACATGTCATACAATCTGCCTTGCCTACCCTACAAGGTTCCATCCAAAAAAGGTGCCGGAACTCCATTCTGGGCGTTCTATGAGAAAAAAAGCCCTGCATAAAGATAAATAACATCTGCATACCATTCAAAAGAGACCAAAAAGTCAAAAAGGAAACAAAAAGAACAAAGCACCTCCTCACGAAGAATCAACATCAAGATGAGCAAAGATTAACATCACAGTTAACATTAGATCAATCAAGCAAACAAAACTCCCATCTATCAATTCAGACAAACAAACAGTTAATAATAGCTCAATAAAGGAATCACCAAGATCACTCCCACCAACACTGACAGGCGAAGCTACTAGTATATAAAATGAGTATATAAAATCCCACTCCCTACTAGCATTGTTGTTACCTAGTTTGTAATGAAACATCTGCAAAAAAACAACCAATCTCAGAAACAACCAAAGACCCAACAGTTCAACTTTGAGCTATAAATATTGTCTTATTTTGGTAGAACTTTATTACCCAGGTATGTTTTTAAAATGTTTTTTATTTTGTTCTAAAATGCACTGAATTATTTTGTTTGCTTTCTAAAACACAGTGTCTCAGTTTGGATTTGCTAAACCTACAGGCCAGATATGCTTGAAATATCATCAGCCAGATCTTTAATATTAATGTCAAATAGATTGCACACCCAGTTGTATTTTGTCACAAGATAAGATATAGTGAAGATATAGTTCAGTGACAAATTTTTAACATTAATATACATTTTTATCTCCAGAAGCATGTTTAAGGTCAAAGTAGAAATCTAGTTTTCTTCTATTTTCCTCTTCCACAATTTTAGGTTTTCTTTGAAAAGTATCAACTTCTGTGTTAGCTTAACCACTGCCTAGTCATGACCTGGCATTGAAGTATTCAACTTAATAAGTTCTGCAAATGTATCAGAAGTATAGTCTAGTTTCAATATCCATGAAAAACTTAACAATGGTGAATCCAAGAGATGATTTTCATACAAAGATGTTTTGATATCATTGTGTAATGCTGTACCATACATTGCTGTTTTTTTCTGAAGGCAATTACATGTCTTTAAAAACAAATGTGTTTATTTGAAGTCAATATCTGGACACATCTGACTAAAATGCTGTTATTAAGAGACCTCAGTTTTTTCAAATCACATCCTGAATTATCTTTTTCATCGCAATAACCAACTCATCTGATGCCTTCTTAGAAACAATGCAAGAAGGCACTAAAAAACTTTTATTAATAGATTAAATTCTTTTACTCTTATCACAAATACATACACCTAATATTGCTAGTACACCAGCAGTGCACATTAAAAAAAATATTGATTCCAAGTTAAATTTGTTTCATTGAAAAGCAAATCTGTTTTATTAAAATATATTTTGCTTTCTTTGTGGAAAAACATTCCTGGAAAAATATGAATGCTTCCATATTAATTAGTGTTAGTTTTATATCAGCAGCAATTGATGCAATTGCTTGGAGGAAAGAATGTAAAATCTGCAAATCAATCAAGGTCAGAGGTACTTATATGTAGGACCATCCTGTTGACCTGCCTCTTTCTTGAAAACACTATCCTACTTTCTGACTTGAGTTTGTAGCTCTTTATGTCTTCTGTCTTGTGGATTGGTTACTGGCTTTTGACAGATTCCTGAGAATTCCAGTGGCCCACGGCATTCAGATATAATAGCTGACAGGCCTTGCATTTTCTCCTTGGCCAGCACAACAGATTAAGTTTTGCAACATAGAGTTTTTTACAGCATAGAGGCTCTCTAGCTGTTCTGCTGCAAACATATTCCTACACTTTTACCCTTTGTCTTATATCTGTATGCTAAATGATTTACATCTAAGTTAATAAAATCTAAAAACTGATGCATCGTTCACTGCTGCTCATAGCAATAACCTGGAACAGGACAGCTTGCCTATTCATTTAAGATCAAACTCAATCCTTACTTTTCATTGAAACTATTTAGTATAGTCAAAACAGTTCATTTTGATTCATCATACTGTGTACCTCCATGCTTATCAACAGGGCCATGATAATTCATACTAAAACACACGGTGATCCATTTTTGGTTAAAACCTATAGGTTAAGAATCAATGGCATAAGTAAAGTAGCATAATGGTTAAAAATGTGAATTGTGAAAGAGAAATAGTTTTTTAAATCTCAATTCAGCTATGAATTTGCTGGGGTATCTCAAGCATATTATTTCAAAGGAAATAGTAATAGCCAGGGGCACAATTAGCAATCCTGTATTTGAGACCCAAGCGATTTGAAAGTGTGTAATAGCAAGTAGACGGATGTGTACCACTTGGGTTGGCACATTAATGGGGACATAAAAGGAACCCCCAACTGGGCTTTCCTTGGGCAACAGTCATGTCACTAGCTAATCCTTTCAACCCAGAAGTAATTTAGATGTTTCCGTCATGAACCCGAGTGAATAATAATAGTTCTTATCATATAATGATAATTATATGAATGTACAAATATATTATGGAATCTAATGTTGACATAGTTCAATATTGTACACTTTCCTATTGTCCATTTTCTTTCTTCTCTTCCGCAGGTTTATTAAAGCAACTGCTGAAATATGATAATTTTGTTTTGGTTATTATGAGTTTTACAGGAAAAGGAGCAAATTCTGCAAGTCCTGAGTTATTTGAAGGAGACAGTCTATTACCTTTAATTCTCAAGAAGGTAACTTTATAAAAATGTACTTAACACTAATATAAGTTGATGAAAGCAACATAAATTTGTCAATATTATAAATGTAATTGTCAAGATTAATAACAAATCTATTTTTGTTCATTGATTTTATATCACTTTTAGGCTACTTCATTCCTGTTAGAAACAATTAAAATCACAGTTAAAACAAATAACTAATACAATAAAATTCCAACTGAAGAAAAGTTTGTATCATTGCACCTTTGTTCATCTTGTGCCAAAAACACAATGGAATAATGTTTATCAAAAGCTAGGAGCACTAAAATGCCTTTCCAGTGGAGGGGAAAGAGTTTCATAAAGTGGGAAGTATTACTGAGAAGGCCTAATGCCTTGTCCACATTCCATATATCTCAAAATGAGGAGGGAGTATCAGTTGGATGGGCAGATTATTTTATGATAGGGTACTACCTAATGTATACAACTTTAAAGGTGATAACAGCATCTTAAGCTGGACTTTTTTTAAAGGAAATCAAGGAACTGCTTATGACTGGCAATTGTACAGAGATCTTGCTGGAACAACCTCATCTGACTCCTTGGCCATCCCTGTATACCAGACCAATGAGAGAAGAGATATAATTGCCTGCCAAACCTTCTGGAAACTTGGGTCCATTGGTATTAGGGATTGGTGGTTCTAATTCATCCAGTGCTGCATGTCCTCAGTTTAACGAGGAAGTGATCTGACCAGAACAAATTGACAAATCCTCCATCTTCACAACACATCTCATTTTTTCAAAAATAAAGATCAAATCAAATGGGTGTCCTACCATGTGAATTGAGGTTGCAGTCATAATAAAGGTCACGAAGTCATACATTCCCCTTTCCAAGGCATTAAGATTAATTTCTGAAGACTTACAACTTCTGGAATCTAAACACCAGCCCCAGATGAGATTAAGGAACTTCTGGAGGGTCACTACTGGGCAACTGGGTGATCAGTACACTAGCAGCAGCCTAAGCTTGATAAAGTATCTCAGTGTTACATAAGAATATTTGCAATACTTCATTTCCAAAACAATGCTCTGCATCACCATGAGAGTCTTAAGCACAATCACAGCAACTCCTCTTCCCTAATATTGATGTAGCAGCTGATGCAAGACCAGATATCCAACTAAATCAACTTCAGGTGGGGCTACATCCACATTTTATCCAGCCAAGTTTTAATAATACACAGTTGGCCACTTTATTCATACATTTGATTTAGCATTTTCTAACAGCAACTCGATGCCAAGACACCCAATAATTTAAACACCGGAAACTAGGACATGACTATCTCAGATGAGATCTAATACAATAAAAGGCAGCCCACTTTCTGAAATAATCCACCCAGTGTTCTACTTCGGTCTGCTTTTATTTAGGTTTCTATACTTTATATAGGAATAATTAAATTAATATTTTGTGCTGGAAAAGAAATTAATAGCTTCTGTATTATGTTTACCTGTAGTGTGTCTATTAACTTTAAATATAATGAGAAGAGTGATAGAAATTTTGTTTTCATATTGTATGTAGTATTTTTTAACGCAGGGAATTATGTCAATGCACTTCCTGTAATTAGCTTGTTTATAAGTTTAGTGAACTTTTAATAATATTGCATTGTTCAGCCTTGAAATAAAATTACCATAAACTCCAAACATTTTTTTTAAATAGTTAAATATTGTTCCTATGCAATAAATGTATTTCCTAATGAACTCATGGTAATTAGTATAAAAATGATCCTCTAATACAAATTCTGATGTTTTCTGCAGTTGCTATTGTCAAGAGATGAGATATTACAGATAGCAAGTACACAGTGTTTGGCTGCTGTATTGGTGCATTCCCCAACTAAATATGCTCCTGCTTTTATCTATGCAGATATTCCAGGTAACAAGACATTCTATTTGACTGATGTTCTGGAATGCCATGGTATTTGATTTCAAAGCTATATTTCAAAGAACGTTTGCTGCATCACTATTAATGAATGAAATCTTAAGGATAGTATAAAGGTTAATATCTAATTTCAGATACCTGCAGATTGGCTATAATGTTGAGCTCATAGTGGACTGTACAATAAAAATGTTTAAGGTTATGGCAGTTGTGAAAAAACAAATTCCATGCAAGGGATCATTTAAAAAGAGATGAAATATAAATCTGACAACACTGTAATGCTATTAGAAAAATATATGGTGTGTCAACATTTGAAATATACACAGGTAGTCCTTGACTTATGACCTTAATTGAGCCTAAAGTTTCTGTTGCTAAGTGAGATATTTGTTAAGTGAGTTTTTCCCCATTTATGATCTTTCTTGCCACAGTTGTCAAGTGAATTATTGGAGTTGTTAAATTAGTAATATGGTTGTTAAATAAATTTGGCTTCCTTGTTGACTTTGCTTGTCAGAAGGGCGCAAATGGTATGATGTACTCTGCCTTGTTGGCCAATCCAATCTCTTAGTTTTATTGGTTCATTTGATAATATTTTTTTTTTGCTTGCAGAATTTCTATTTGAGTGTCTCTTCTGCATGAGTGAAAGTCTCATCTGGTCAGTTTATTGCTGCCTATTGCTCCTTACTGAGGAACAGCTTTTCTTTTCCAAATGCCACACTGTTTATGGTAAATAATCACTCTTCATATAGGATAAAACTGCTGTTATGTTAGGCAGTATTTTCTATGCATATAAACTATCTTCACCAATCTTTTAATATCTTCTTTATCCTAGGCATAGAACCTCTTGTAAAGAGCTTGAAAGAAACTTTGCATCTTAATAATATAGAATTGCAAAAACAAGGACTTCTACTTTTTACTGAAATTTTGAAAAAGTAAGAGATATCAATTTCCATCTGGTTTTAGTTTGGAAAATTAGAGCAGAGGAAGCAGCGTTCATCAAAGTTATATCTGAAGGATAAATATTTCAGGGGAAAATATGTATATATAATCATGATTTAATATTATAGTGTTTCTGCCAGTTTTCTATGAATCTGAAATCTAAAAAACTGTTTTCCCTTATTTTTTAAATAATTTATATAATATTTTAGGGGGGATGATGGGGAATCTTGCATATTGTATGAAATTCTTCTAGCTTTTTATTTGTCAATATATAGAATGTTTATATTTTGTAGTTACAAATTTATTTTTTCAATGGGTTTCCGTGAAGAACCTTAATATTGGTATATTTAGTATATATACATAGGTTTTATGGGTAGATTACTAATTTTTAATTTAATATAATCACTGTTTAGAGTCCTTCAAGACTGAAGTGGTTTATACATTTCATAAATAAACCATAAAATCTAAGTAATTGTGTATAATAATTTTAGATTGGGCATTTGTATATTTCAGTTTGAAATAGCTTGAGTCCAAATGGGCAGTTCTTAAAAAAGAGTTACAATCCATATTGAAAGTGTTTTGAGTTTGGAGAATTTCTGGTTCTGTTGAAATAGCCTGCGTTGAACTTGAATTTGAAAATACCATATTGTACTTTATGAAAATGTTAGGGTGTTAGCTTTTAATTTCTGTTCTGCTGAAGTTCAAAGTGATATATACTGTTATATAAATTTTTCTGTTGGGTAAAAATTTTGAATATTTTATTTAATTTCAGGCAACCAGAAGAAATTAAATTATTTACAAATATTGCTACATTTAAAGATGCTGTTAGTGTTCTAATGGAAGCTGTGAAATGCCCTGTTATTGAAGTAGCATCTGAAGCGGTGAAAGCTGTGACTGCAATTTTGAGGTAAATGAAAAGTATTTAATTTAATTATTTAATTTAATTTAATTTATTACCTGGAACATATAAATAGTTCCCTTACCACTGCATCTTTTATAACTTTCTGCCAATTTGTCCCTTACTGGTAAAATTCTTTAAGCATTAGTTTATTAGTATCTGGATATTCTATAACATGCATGCCAAAATGTTCATTTGGATAAGAGAAATGATTGGTGTGATTTTAGTAGAAAACAGGTAAGTAAATATCCTCTCTCTATTCATAATTGACTTGTTCTTTTATCACGATAGTCACATTGACTCTCATTTATACTATTATCTTTCCTTAACATTTTCCTGTTTTTCTCAGCACAGAAAGGATCACGTGAGCTTTCCACCTATACAATATGGGCAACTACAGAAATTGATTGAAACTATATTAATGCGATGTAATGATCTCCCACTGGCACCTTTTAATAAGAGGCTAATGGTTAGTCCCTCACAGCTCTTTTTTTGTTCTGATTTAAGATCAGTAATGTGTAATATATATGATAAATACAAACTGTTATTTTTCTTTTAATCTAACAGAACATTTGCTGAAAGTGCTCCTATCCCCCTATATTGAAGATTGAGTCCTCCTTTCTTTTAAAGACAATTATTTGCCTCTGTTAAATGTACTTTGGACCATATTTGCACACTATTATTTTAATTAAAGTAATTATTAATCTAAATATTGGGCTCTGGCAGCATAAAATATTCTTACTGATTTTTCCTCTTTCAATATCACAGGATCATCAAGGGGGGAGATGTAAGAACAGAGCAATTTCACAACAGGCACAATTCTTGCAGAGTGCCTTAGAAAGTTTCAGAAATGCTTGTAGGTAAGAAAGGATGTTGCTTAACTTTATTGATGCTAGAAGTGTTTAGAAAAATCCATTGGAAACAGATATACTAAATATACAAATATAACATTTAATATACAATTCATATTTATATGAATTTATAGCAGAAAAATACTGAGCTCAAGTTTATATCTGAACATGACCCTCAGTCAAATTTGTTCTTTGATATATGCATGTGGTTTTGTTAGCAACAGTGACTTCTGGGATTTTTGTTTAGATCTTCCCAATCCTCTTTATAGCTGTGGTACTCCCTGGAGTCTATCATCCAAGTACTAACTTCTGAAAATTGGCTAGGTACTGCTTTGATTGAGATGGGTAAGAGAATTACCACAAGAGTTACTTTGTGGCAAGATGAGAGGTCAATAAATTTAATAAAATCAATCAATTAATAAAATGATTTAAGGGGTTTCAGTTAGAATTCCTATTTTATGCACATACAGTATATTTAGTTCAGGGGTTCCCAACCCCCGGTCCGTGGACCGGTACCGGTCCGTGGCATGCCAGCAACCGGTCCACACAAACAAAGAAAGCCCCATCTGTGGGATACCGGTAGCACACAAAACGATGCACCCTCCGGTCCGCAAAAAAACTTTTCTCCACGGAACTGGTCCCTGGTACTCAAAAGGTTGGGGACCTCTGATTTAGTTGATATATCAAGAAGTTGTTTAAAAAAAATGAACAACCTGATAATATGATTGGATTTATTTGTGTTGTTAAGTAATACCAAGAAATGAAGCTTATTTTATTTAGCTATCCTTAATCTTGCCAGGTATGAATGAAGTCTTATTCATTTATTTGTCCTGCTATGTTTGTACCCTGCCTTTCTTCCTGGAAGTCCAGCTTAGTTCATATTATGCTGACATATACTGACATATACCAATATTCTGGATTAACAGTTTAAATTCTGTCCACATCTTCAAAATAGAAAAAGGGTCATACCTCCTGATTTCTGTTGCAGAGAAAGTGAATAGAGCTATGTCTATGTATAGTTCTAAGTCTTAGCAAAGTTAGTGTTTGCATGAAAAAGTAATTTTATGAGTAAAATTCTATTGACATTTCAGCGGAATATATCTAATTGGATCTGACCTTGTCTCATACTATATAATTAAATATTTTAAAGTGGTAAGTTGATTAATATATGACAATGCAGTTAACTTTTTCATTCCCAAAAATGAAACAGGCACACACATACACAAAAACCAAATCCTGTGTTCCAGTTACATTAGAATCAGGTTCTTTAGGATTAAGCAGAGCTAGATTTCAGCATACTGAAGATTAGAAAGCTACATCATAATTTCTTCATAGTCTGAAGGGGCCCCTCAAAATTTCAGAATTTTTAGAATGTGTTACAGTTTCATTATAATTTTATACATGAAAGTGTTAATGAATTAAGTCTCCTATATTGCTCTTATGAATCTCATTAATTGATTAATATTTAAGTTATTTGTTGCTGCATGCATTCACACCTGTTCATAGAAGATCTTTCCTCACCCTATCTTGTGTTCTTATTCATCTTTCTCTATTACCCCTGCCCAATAAAGCCTTTATGGTTTTCCGTAACTTAGGATCTCACCATGTCTAAATATGATACTGGGTTAAGAGAAAATATAGAAACATTATGTAGTATAGGTTGTATCTAATAGGTTTTATAACTTTTTAGTTTAGCTGTGCAATACCAAAAGGATCCTCTGGCTCAGAAGAACACTTTTACAGCTCCAAATTCAGACAATATTGATATATTGAAAAGATTTTCGGAATTTCTTCTAAGGATATCTGATTCTCTTTGCATTCCCATGGTCATGGTAATTATTTTCGCTATGTCCTTAGCATCAAACATCAAATAAGTCATATAAATGTACAGGAAAGCAAAAGAAAGAAAGAAAAAGAAAATAGTTGTATCTATAGATCATAGACAAGAAATTGTAGCAAAGTTTAGTCAACAGAGGCAAAGTTGCAATGTCCTCTGCTTCTGATTTTTATTAAATTAATAACAATGAGGCGCCTTTACAAGTTAACTTTATTATACAATATTTGACATCTCAAGTGTTATTAACAAAATAAGTTATTTTAGGAAAAGAGTTTTTAACTACAATATATTATATTATGCAGCATAGAGTTACAGGTCTGCTAGGTCCATACTGATTTGCATTTCTGAATTGCATTTCATTTACTTTTTATAATAGGGAGAATATGTACTGTATATATTTTCTTGCAGAAATATTCTGAAAGGGCTGTCCGCCCAGGTATCATGGAAGTCTTCATCTCAACACTTAGCATTCTGTTCAATGTTATGCCAGATATGCATAAGAGATTATCCATTAAGATGGGTAAGGACAGCTAGAGGAAACTACTTTTGGACGTATGATTAAAATATGTATTTTTATTGCTGAACTTTAATGATGCCAGAAATGCAATCAAAATCCTAAATAAATATGTTCTAATAATATGATTTAGTAGGTAAACTGCTTTAAAAAAATTGGTGGCACCTATGGCTGCCAAGCTTTGTTTTTCTGCTGTAACTACTAGCAGAACCTCAAGTGACTTTTTACTTAGTTTGGAGAATATAGCATTTCTTGTTCCTGAGTGTTATGTTTGTTACCACAATGAACTTAGAAAATATTAAGGAAGACAACACCAATATATAGGTAGGCTTTATTGATAGCTTGCAAGTTACATTAGGAGTAAATAGTTTCCAACACATGCATAGCCTCCTCATTTTACCACTCCTTATATTCTCCCACAAGTAATACATTATTTTACAACACTTAAGAGTGAGCACATGTTTTGCTTACCAGCTATCCATTTTCAAATGTGTTGCAGAGGTTCATAGACAAGTCATGGTAATTTACTTGGGCACACCATTTATTTTTTATTATTTAGTAAATATTTTCCTATCATTTATTACATAAATTATTGCATTTGTTCTAAGACACTTTTTACATGTACATTTTTAGAAAAAATAAAACTTTGCTTACCAAAATATTAGGAAAATGGTTTTGAAATGATGACAAGAGCAATACTTTATTGATCATGAAAAGATGTGCCAAGAAGTAAGACAATAATAACCACAATACATTTACTTTAATTCAAACATTTTACATGAGTAGAATTATCTTTCTCTTTAGCATCTTCTTCTTTCATCCAACTAAACCTGGAATTGAAAGCCAAATTCTGCACTGGACAAAGGTATTACAATTGACATTAAAATTATGTCATGCTTTGTTTTATTCAAACATTATTTTTACTTAGATAGATCTATCTCCATAAATTCCTAGGGATTTTGTTATTTTGCATCCACATTTAAATAACTTAAAGAAATGTTTATAATTTTTTAAAGCAGCTGGTTAATTTTGAATGTTTTAAAGATGCCAAAACTTTATAAGTTAATACAATTATGTATTTCAAAATGTAATTCTTCCTACCTTTATAGAAAACCATATGACTAAACTTAGACGGATGCTTTGATCATGGGTGTTCTGACAAATTTTCATTTTGCATGATTTCTTTTTCTTTAAAGTAATGCTGCATTGAATCAAGCTTGTTCTAGTTTTCTTCATAGCATGTGCCTCAGTCTTTATTTGTCCTGTGAGAAAATGGTGGATTTCCCAAAACAAAGTAAGTTTGATAAAAGAACTGCTTGTGAAGTTTCTTTGAACTGCAGCACACAATTAAAGTCTGAAAATAAAGATTGTGGCAGAAATTGGAAAAATATGCCCAATCTGTAGAGATTGATATGAACTTATGGGTTCTGTAAGTAATAAATTTAAAATATAGAGTTTTCTGTTTATGAACTAGGCCCTTCAATGTCTAAATTATATGAATTTGCCATGCTCATTATAAGGGCTTGTGGCATCATATGATTATCTAGCAACATTAACTAAGAAGAAAAAGAGAAAACTGTTCTCTTTTGCAGGGTAAAACAATAATATGACCATTTTTACCAAAATTATATTTGGATCAGTATTCTAAGCCAGAAATTATGTTTATTTTCTGTCCAGGCTTTTCTGACATTTTTGGTTGTTAATGTTTTTTCCTCATAGAGCAAGAAATATCTGAACTCCTGTGGAAGACTCTTCCCCAGTTAAACTTCAGTCCAGTGGAAAGTCTCAGACTCTTATCTGAAACCTCAGATCCCTTATGTTTAAATGAAACACTTCGTAATCAGCAATATAGCCTTCTGTTTCTTTTCTACCTTGCTTTTAGTCATGAAGACAGGTAGGTGATATGGCATGAATAGGAAAAGCAGTCAATAAGCAAGATGAATCAGCTTAAGCATTTTTAAATCTTTTTTTTTCCAGAATTGTTCCAGAAGCAGAACTATTCTCAGCTATATCAAGTTTTCTTCTATCAGTTGAGGACCAGAGAGATTGTCCACCTGCATATATTGTTAAAGCTATTTTGTATCTTCTGGCAATTTGTCAGGACAAAAGTAAAGCTTTGGACTTGGTAAATACCCGCTTAATCATTATATACTGGCTTAATGATATACAGGAGCAGTTTTTAAAATTTAACATATCACATTGAAGGTCTTTTTTTATTAAAGGAATTGTCCAGCAATTAAGAAACAGTATTTTGTTGTTGCAAGCAGCAACTTAGTAATCTATCCTTCTCTGAAAAAGGTTTTGGGAGTATAAGGGTATTCTCCTTTGAACTGGCTTAATATCTGGGATCTTAATGGAAATATCCATGATGTTTTTATGGAAATTGTATGAAACAGATGTTATTGTCTTCTGTGATGTTTTTCCAACCTTCCAGTCTAGTCTATAGCAATGGCATTTCCTGGTGGCCTTCCGTCAAAGTACTTATCATACTTAGCTTTTCGAGATCAACCACGGTCATCTAGTTAATCTTGCAATCATTATATTTAGATTTATTTAACTAAGGTTTAATGAATAAATGTTTTATATTTTGCACAGTAATTCAGTGATCATACAATAAAGATCAAACTCCCCCAAAAAGAATTTGAATAGTGAGATAGTGCAGGACAACATAATTAGATGTTGTGTTCAAATAGCATGTATTGGGAATGGCTAGGCATGCTAAAAAAATACTCAAATATCTTAACCCCCCCCCCAAAGAATGACAGTAACCCTTTGCAAAAGAATACTGACATGAAAAAGAGAGAAATAATTATTTCCACACTGACTACTTTTAAATTATTCAAAAATAATTGCCCTTCTATCTTCCCTTCTAGTTTTTTTCTCATTGTAAGAAAAAAATATAGAAGTGATAGAAAGACACGATGGGAATATGGAAGTTGGTATTACCTGAACCTTTCTTTCATGAAGAGTTTCTTGAATGAGGCAGAATAGTTCCACAATAAAATACTTGTTGGAAAAATCTAGAATTTATTATCACTTCTGATAATCTTGCATACACCATCTGAAAATACTCAAGTGTAGATATATATGTGTACAATATCAAACCACTTTCAGCAGCAAATACGGTAGTATGTTGTTTCATGTTATTGAAGCTACTAAAGATGGTTTCATATTATTTAGTTTTGATATCTAAAAGAAGCCTTTAGAAGCTAAGTACTATAATGAGAATGATTTGAATCTATTATGTTACTATTTTTTAATTCAACAAGGAATTTCAAATATGATTGCCCCAAACTTTTATATTGACTTTTTTTTAATTCCCCTCTCCCTCCATTTTCCATATCCAGGCATGCCTTTCTGCTATAAGGAAAATCCTGGATGTTATATCTGATTTCAGTCTAGTGTATGTTCATCATCCTCTGCTGCTTAAGTTCTTTTTACAATATCCTGATCTTATGGGAAGATTTGGTTACAGCATCCTTCAACTCTGGTTTTCCTGTGAAGATTTCTCCCAAACTGAATATGAAGATGTTGCCACAAGAGGGTCTGGTGGCTTTTCTGACTCTTCGAACAACTTTAATAGTTTGATTTGCATGCTAAAAGCCAATCCCAGTGCTATACTTGTATTACTGGTAAGTGATTTTACAAAATGAACCAAATCATAATCTGAAAATATTTAAAGTACATTATAGATATGTTTCCAGGATATAAAAAAAGTATAATTTATATTATGCATAAAGCCACTATTCTCTGTTAACTATTTTTTGTAAAAATTGAAAAACAGAATAAGAAAGACTTAAAATGAGGGAAATATTTTCAATGTTTCTTATTTTGTTACATTTAACAATAGTATTTTCTATTTTTCCCAGCATTTTGGTTTTGGTTTCTTATTAAATGTTCATATTAATATCTGTAGCGCAAATGTAAATAATGTTATCCACATAAATGAAGTCTGAGTTGTTTTCCCACTCAGGATCTAGTCTGCTTTGGAACCAATGAAGTGGCTCAAAAAGTCTTAATTTCACTGAAAATTTTCTTAAGAATAGCTGAGGATATCCGTGTCTGTGACCTTCTTCGAAGCCAGTTTCTACAGATTTTGCAACAACTTTTAGTAGAAAATAATTCTAGTATTTCACAAGGTGAATAAACAGATAAGTAATTAATTAGCAACTACTCTAGGGAAATTTGTTAGTAAAATGCTATTGGATGTATTGATTTATGGAATTATGTATAGATATGTACTTGAGCAAGATGATGTTTTTAGTGTGCAGCTGACTTTTGTAGTTAGCAATGCATTTCTACATTCATGAATTTCGTTTTCAGCACACATAGAAGAAACAGGCTAGTGATTCTTCCCTTCTGCTTAGGAGAGGAATGGTCTAGCACAGCTTGATTATCACTGAGACAGCTGTCATTACACTGATATAACCTACCTCATTGGGTTGTTGTGGAGGAAAATAAGAGGGCAAAATGTTATATATACTGCTTTGAGCTTCTGAATAAAAAGCTGGGACATAAATCAATAAATCTGGGATCCTATAATAAATAGTACAGCTATATAATATACTGCATAGGCTGCCATTTCAGATATAAAATGAGGCAATACTTTGCATTAATGCAATACAGATTTGATTGCTTTTGAATAGAAAACTGAAATATGTAAAATTTAAGGAAACCTACAAAATTGCTGTTTTTTGCGTCGAATGATATCAAATCTAAATAGAAATGAGAAGATAGATGTATGCCCATTTATAAAAATAATGCTTAATTCAGCTAAATCTACTTTGTAGCTTTTATTTAGCTTTCTGGGTCAATACCTTGTAACAAACGGGCTTAATGGAGATCATAATCTAGTTGAATTCTGTCCTCAAATGGCTATACACTTATACTAAATTAATTTGAGTGAAAAAAAGCTCACCACCATGTGAAAGTTTGGTTCACTATGAATATCTTGTACAACTTGGAGTTTCTTTCAAAAATGCCATTAAAATACAGGTAGTCCTCAACTTTCAACAGTTTCTTTAGTGATCGTTAGAAGTTACAATGGCACTAAAAAAAGTGACATGACCATTTTTCACACTGATGACTGTTGCAGCATCTCCATGGTCACATTATCAAAATTCAGACAACTAACTCATATTTATGATGGTTGCAGTGTCCCGGAGTCATGTGATTACTTTTTGCAACCTTTTGACAAGCAAAGTCAATGGGGAAGCCAGATTCACTTAACAGTCATGTTGCTAACTGAACAACTGCAGTGATTCACTTAACTGTAGCAAGAAAGATTGTAAAATCTCACTTAAAAATGTCTTGTTTAGCAACAGAAATTTTGGGCTCAATTGTAGTTGTAAGTCAAGAACTACCTGCATGCTTTCCTGCATTTTCCAACTATTGCTTCATGGTCTTTTGTTTTAGTAAGCCAGAATGTGCCACTTTTGTTAAATCTCCTTTTTCTGGTTCAGCTGAGATATGCAACAGAACGAGAGTTGGATAATACAGATTTCAGACTGCTTCGCTTAGGTGAGTGTCTAAATTTGTTTTGGATGTTTGGATTAGGGATAACAAGAATGTAGGATTTGGAAGCCAAAGTAAATCCTTCCTTCCTTCCTTCCTTCCTTCCTTCCTTCCTTCCTTCCTTCCTTCCTTCCTTCCTTCCTTCCTTCCTTCCTTCCTTCCTCCCTCCCTCTCCAATAGATTTAATGACATTTGCAATTACACCTTTTAAGAAATTAAATACATATTACATTGGGCATCTTCAGGTGCAGAAAGCATATAGAAATTATATTTCTTCTGTAACAGTGTTACCAACTCTATTCCTCTTTTTTCTAAATTTTGTAATCATATTATCAGAGTTTCATCACGATTGCAGCTTGAGAATGATTGGTTTTCTTTTTTTTCTTTGCATCAATTAAGAGAAATGATGTTTTATGAATAAATAACCGTCACATCATTATTTCAGAGTAAACTACCTTATACAAAGCATAGAAAAAGAATAAGAAACAATAAAGAAATTAAGTCATGGAATAAGAAAAAATGTATAATTTATAATAATAATATATAATTAAATCTATTTACATCAACATTTACCATATCTCATTACAGTTTTCTATTCTTGCACAGCATCTTTGCCTTTTTTCCCTTTAAATTCTTCGTCTATCTTTTTTCAGGATCTGATTTAGTCCATCTGGCTGCTATTCCTTTGCTCTTCCCCTTCTTTTCTTGACTATTCATGCTAACACATTTGCACAGATAACTAACTATAGGTAGTCCTTCACTTACAAACACTCATTCAACAATCTTTCAGTGGCACTGAAAAACTGATTCACAGCCTATCCTTGCCGAAATTGTGATGCTTGGCAACTGGCATGTATTTGCAACAGTTGCAGTATCCAATGGTCGCCATTTGCAGCCTTCCCAACCAGTTTCCAACAAGCCAAGTCAATGGAGGAGGTTGGATTCGCTTAACAACCACATGATTCACTTAACAACTGCAGGGATTTGCTTTACATCCATGGAAAAAAAAGATCATAAAATCAGCCATTACTTACTTAACAATTGCCATATTTAGTAATAGAAATACTGGCCTCATTTGTGATTGCATGTCGATTATCTGTAACTGCAGATACAGATAAAAAATCTGACTTTTTATTGGAAAGTTGAAAGGGGTTGTGAAATTTCTGTCATTTTGAGTGATATACTAGGCTTTGTATGTCATGTTGACAACCATACCCCAAAGCCACAACTTCCGTTGTGCCAATTTTGGGAGAGAGTGGAATTTTTTTATTGTATCACTTAAAACTTTTTCTAAGGGTCTAACCTATTCTGGGTGACATTTACTGATTGTAAATAGAGTGTTCACACTTCTTGAATCCCCAACTTTATATAATTTATAAATGCAGTTATATAATAAGGGAAATTCCTCAGATCAAAGAGGAAAATGAGGATCTTTTTTTCTTTTATAGTGATTCAAATTTATTTTCCAATAGTGGCAGTGTTTCTGGAATGCATTTTCCCTTTGAGATCTGATTGGCTAGTTTAGCTTATATTCTGGGCAAGAGAGATGCACCTGCATACTCTAAAATAGAAATGATGAAAATTGTGCTTTCTGAAATAAGTGTTTAGTCAACAAGAACAAGTGACAACTTTTTGCTTTAGCTTGTGTCAGGCTTCTGTTTGTTTAGCTTCAAAGCAGAGCTCCTTGGACCAGATTGTCAATATTCCTCTGTAATGTTTTTCTGAGGTAACTACAGCAGTCTAAACTGAATGATAGTGAAAAATGGCCACAAAGATGCTAATTAGTAAGTACAGCTGTGACTATATTCACTATGGGATTTTTCTTCTGTGTTTTTTGAAGCAAATGGTCTTGTTTGTGACTATGACGACACTTAAACTTATCTGATTGGTAGTCTGAGTTGGTGTAGCTATCCCCAAAGATTTCACATACTAAAATCTGTAAAAGATTATTGTTATACTGAGCACAGTATTTCTGTTATGCAGTTATCAATTTGTGTGGGAAATGTAGACCAACAGACTCTGAAATTCTTCAGCCATCCCTGAACTTTCTTTATTGGAGCCTTCAGCAGACAATTCCTTCCAGCCAACAAATAGGTAAAAAGTAAAACAATTGCTTTGTTGATAGAATGAAAACTTTTCCCCAATAAGGACTTAGGGTCACAAGTTATTTTCAGGATGGATATTTCAAAGGTGCTTTTCTTCAAAAGGCAGCTAGACTGTTTTTTATTTGAGGAAAAAGAAGATGTTTCGCTTCTTATCCAGTGAATCTTCATGGATGAAAAGTGAAACATCTTCTTCCTCAAATAAAAAACAACCCAGCTCCCTTTTGAAAAAAGCACCTTTGAGACAACCATGACCTGCATGACTGAGAATCTCCATAGACTTTCAGGATGGATGTTAGGAAAAAATCCTCAAACTCAAGTATGGGCAAACATTCAATTGTAGAAATGATGTAATTTCACCATTTGGATGCAATGAATTCTTGAGTTTCACTGAAAATATTTGTTTGAAGATATGGAATATGTGATTAGACTTCCTGATTTTATCATGATTTCTTTAATGCATGATTATCCAAATGCCATTATGTAACAGCTATCATTTAATTTTCTAAAGATAGGCTGGTAAGGATGAATCTATGAGTCTAAATGTCTTTCATGAAACTTTGAATGATAGTTTAGCATTATATCCCAACAGAATCAGGCATTATTTCAGGATTTAAACAACAAAGATCTGTCTCTGTACATAAGAAAAGTAGTGAGGTGGATGTCTTACTATTAATGTTCCTCTGCCTATTATTTTCTCTTTTTTTTAGTTTTGCTTTTATAGTTCTAAACACTTTTAAAAAATTATTATATAATAGTTTTATATAATGACTTCTATATTTTTACTGGATTGTTGTATGCTGCATAGAGTTGCTTTCTTGAGATGGGCAGCTAGATAGCAGATAGACAGACAGATGTGTTGTATACAGCAAAGACCCTGTCTAGTTGTAGTTTTCTTCTTTATAAATAATGCTTCCATAAAATTGTATATGAACATTGTCTATGGGGTCACGATGGATCGGACACGACTTCGCAATTAACAACAACAAAAAAAATGTATATATTTGTATATTGTTGATGAGATTCAGATTACCAACCATTGTATGTTTTCAGTTCAGTGAGTTGGAGTAGAAGTCTAGCTTTGATATTAAAACAGTATGCAAAGTTTCCTCATCCATAGCAACTCTTATAGTAGAAACTAGTAACCTGTGCACTTGAGCCAATTATTGAGCCAGAGGTATTTGACTCTATTGTGTACTAGAACAAGGACATAGTTAAATCTTTTTTTAAAAATCTGTTATGGAATGGATAAAATAAAATACATTCAGAGACTTTTTTCTTGCTGTTAAAGATATGTATCAATTATAGAACTGTTTGAAAATTGGATTGCTATTTATTATTTCTATGCAAATATCTATTGGTAGTGACAGCTGTCTTACTGGAAATAATATATGTGTTTTTAAAAGTATGCATTATTACTTGTTTTATAATCATCTGTGGAAACTCTTTCCATACCACCCAAAAGTATTTTAAAAACTAGTGTTCTCTTTTTGTGCATAATATCCAGAGACAAAAATATACAATTTACTGAGATTTGTTAGGATTTTTGAAATAGATCAAGAGCCTTAAACCCGTGGTATTTTGTTCCTTTTGATTTCAGTACTAATTTGTAATTGTATCTGGTTGCTACTGACTTAAGTTATAATTGTTACATGTATAGCTTGTTGAATCTTTTCTTCTTTTACAGTGGTAGTATTGTTACTTTCCAATAAATCTTTGATAGAGCTCCTTGAGAAAGTTCTCCACTGTACCTGGATGGCAACATCTTTCTCTGAACCTGTCTTCTCCTCATCCATTGAATCACTTATTTGTTCTTCATGGCTTTTGATTGCTTCACTCTTGATTCAACAAAATATTTACAATACAGAGGTTAGAAACACTGATAAATCTGTGTAAAGCCAGTTAATTTTTCTTTATAAACACTCAATTCACTAATAAGGGCATTAATTAACTAAATTAAGCATTATTAACTTGATGTAGATAATATGTGGAAAAAATACGTAACATTGGGTGTAATATTTTATGGACCGGCTGTGCAGCTTATTAATGTACTGTATGTGTGAAGACTGTATCTGTACCTGACAATTGGAAGAATGCCATTACTGTATCCTTATAAAGAGAAAAAGATTGCAAGAGTATATGTGAATTCATTTGTTTAATGTTCCTGGGAAGTTGACAGCATTCTGATTGAAAATGTACAAGATATAACAATAAATGAAACCAGAGAAATGCAGTGTGGCTTTATGCCTGGTAGGATGTATGCACACTTAACTTAGCCCTTCAGCAGATAATTGAGAAATATATGAAAAGTTTAATGAATGTAATAAGGTGAATAAGCTTCAGCTGTAAAATATTTTTCAGGATTCAGAAATACTGAATACAGTAAGATCATTATATAATAGAAGTATATAAAGCTTAAGAATAAATGTAATATTTAGTCTTTAGTTCAACAGAAGTAAGACTTTAGTAAGACAGAAATGTGAAGCTCTTTTGGTTGTTGTATAGTGTATTGTGGGATAAATGTAAGGTTGCAAATTATAGAATCAGAAAACACAGAGCAAGTAAATGAATGTGTGTATCTTAGCAGAATGTTTAGTAACTAGATGGGAAAATGGATGACAACACTGTTAAATGTTCAAATGTGTTTTTTGTGCAGAATGAATGCCGATAGAAGTGAAAATTGTTATATATAAAAATATAATTATATATTTTAATATATATGATATATATATAAATATATTGTATTGTATACTATACAGTGCTGCCTGTTTTGTTAATATGGAAATGAGAATTTGATATATCAGGAAAAGCATAAAAATTAAATGCTGTAAGAATGAGTTATTTAAAAAATATTGTTAAAAAAAGAAGAATGGATGAATAATGTGCATTGACTGTAGTGATAACCATAAACAATATAAGCTGAGATGATTTGGTCATATAGAGAAGTTCTTTTTTGAGTAGGAAGATACTGAACAGAGAAAACGTATCTCCTTTTGTGCATCTGTTCTTCTCAGCCAATTAATTTGATTCTTTTCTGAAAGGTTCATCACATGATCTCCTTAGATGTGGACAAGGTCTTCAATGCAGTTGCATACAGAAAGAAGAGTATATTATTCTTTGGTAGGTAACATCACAAAAAATAAATATGTGAATACAAAGTAGTGTAGCTCCTAAGGATTTTCTTAACAATAAAAAATAGAAGAACTTGGGAGTTCTCCAATAATATTACACGTATAATATTATTAATACTACTAATAATAATTTAATAATTAATAATGCCCAATATTTATCAATATCATAGTTTCCCATCCTCTTTCATACCTCATATGGATTTAATGCAATTTCCTCATTATGTTCCACTTATCACATGAATTTATTATACTTTATTTTCATTGGTAGGATGAATTTTCTAATGTGCATATATTCAATACCTAAAAATCCAACAGGAAGAATTAAAACTTGAACAAGAGAGAACATAAATTCAACTCCCTGCTGCTAGCTATTGTTTTGAACTGAAAATCCTTATGTCTAATCAAAAATATACTATACTAAAATTCTGGTTTTCTCAATTTTTGTGGCAGGTAAACAGATAAAAATTAAGCAAGAAATCTCTTCTTTAGACAAATTGTCCATACTGTTCTTATCACCATGACTAGAATTTCTGCAATGTTTTAGTTGAATTTTCCTTATTTACTGATCACTTTGAAACCTAATAGCAAATCATTTTTTCATATTTAGCCATATGCACACACATAACAGATTACAACAAACACACATAAAGATACATATAGTTGTTCAAGAGCTAGAGATTTTAATTATGCTGGTTGATGACCACAATAAAATAAGTTACTACCTTTTAAAACTGAAAACTAGGAATTTGGGCTAGTTGGTGGCTTTCCAATAAGGAGACTACATACTGCACTGTCCAAGTACACAGATGCTTATGTATAGTCTAGGATCTCTGAAGTGTATGAGGGAGAGACATATTTTATACTAATAGATGGTTTTATATCCAGTTAGCATCCTTCAGTTTTTGAGAGCCTTCTTTAAGCAGAACCTCTGTTCATCCTTTGTGAAGTTTACTGTCCAGTCCACAGATGAACAGGAAAAGGAACTGCCACAGTCAAAAGAGAATATTTCCTTGTTTCCACTGGCTATGTGGCATGTACTGTCCTTGGTTGCTCGATTACAAAACCTACTTGTCCAGGTAAATTTTACTGTCAATATGGAATTGCAATATTAATTGTAGGACTCAGCAAAGCTGATTTATTTCAAATGAATGGAAAAGTATAAAGAGAATACAGTCAAGTACACTTTTTCTCACTTTTGAACTATCTAATGATGTGAAAACTACTACTAGTAGTAATACTAGTACTAGTAGCAGTACCAAAGACAGTTATTCATAAAGGTATAGATTTATTCTCAATGTTGTAAAGCCACTGTCTATTGCATCTACCCCCTATCTGTGAGTAGAAATTTGGAACATTCTGCAGGATCCGTAGGTACATGAATTTCCTCCAGTCCCTTGACTAAGCCAACATTAATTCTAGCTGCCAATGGGAAAACACTAAAAGCATCACTTCTCCACTTCCTTGGTATTCCTTTGCTATGTTTTCTTTTCTGCGGCAAGGGAAAACAGTTTTTAAAAGATTACTGTGCAATGATATGGTAACGTCATCCCTGATAACAGCCAAAAAGCAACAGATTGTCACATGCTATTGCTTTATGTTCATGAAGGACGAGGAATACCAGGAGCTGGGATGAGAAGTAAATTCCCCTCTTCTGTTAAATAGAAAATTGATTGGCATGGTGCTACAAAAGAAGCACAGCAAAACTGTTTTTGCTGTATTTCCTTTGGAGTAGGAGCAGACTTAATATATGTCTAAAATTGTCTCTCCATATTAGACAATTCATGGTACTGGGGAGATGAGGCAAATTCTTTTGCTTGTAAAAGACTTCCTAAATGCTAGAGCATTTTCAAATATTTTATATCCTATGAGTCTCAAGACACCTTAAGATCATGAATTATCTTTTTATTCACTTGTTATAATTTCAGGTACGTATTTCTTTTAGATGAATTTGATAATAAACAGTATTTGTTTTTTTTATGTTTACAGAAGGACTTTTTGCTATCACAAGCTGTTATTGGGTGTCTTGAGATTTTGTTGGAATATCTGCATCTGAAAAATCAGAGCACCGGTACAGCTTTCAATATCTTTCTCTGTGTATTCTTTATTAGTAAAAAATGCTTTCAATTGAAATTATTTTGCTTTGCCTAGATGACTTGCAATCATTGGCACCTCATCACTAAAGCAGATATAAACCTAATGGTATCAAATATTTTGTTACTAAAATAGAGATTTACAGTACTTTAGATATTTAATAGTTGCCAAGAAAATAATATGAAAAAGCTTTATATCAATTCAGTTATGGATGGGTGATGCTATGAAGATGATATAAGTCTCTAATGCAGAAATGAATGCATACTATCCTAATTCCCATACTGTTCATGGTATCTCAAGTTTACTGGGCTGTTAGTCTTTTGGGAAACGGACTGGTTACAGAAGGTTTTCATGGAAAATATAAAATCATAGATAAGGACAGCTTACTGAAGTCTTTAATTTCCGGTGAGATAAAAGCAGAATTAGCTCAACTGAACCATGTTTTATATTTTATACATGGCAGAAAATGATATATTAATAATCTATTTTCATTACTGAATAATATAGCAACTCTCCTAGATTTTATATTATCTGAATGGATCATTTCTTCTACTATTATATTTTTGTTTTGAATGAATTACAGGTAGTCCTTGACTTATGACCACAATTGGGACCAGAATTTCCATTGCTAAGCAAGGCAGTTGTTAAGTGAGTCATGTTGAATTTTACACCTTTTTTTACCATGGTTGTTAAGTAAATCACAATTGTTAAATGAATCGTGCAGTCATTAAGTGAATCTGGCTTCCCCCATCAACAGAGCTTGTAAGAAGACAGGAAGGTCACAAATAGAGGTCAGCTGACCCTGGGTCACTGCACCCTTCATAAATAGATACCAATTGTCAAGCACCCAAATTTTGAATATGTGACCATGAAGATGTAAGTGGAAGGACCAATCATAAATCATTTTTTTCAGTGCTGTTGTAACTTTGATGGTAACTAAATGATTGATTTTAAGTCAAGGACTACCTGTAGACTGTTTATAATGTGGGCAGCATATAGAGTACTTTTTGAGAGAAACTAATTTTGACTTCTGTTGTTTTTCCTCTATTATTATTTTAAAAATCTTGTTTGATGGGATAAAAAAAGGAAAGAATGAATAATATATTTATTTTGAGATTATTTTCTTAGATTTCTTTCTAACCTAATTGTGGTAATTTTTTCCACTTCTAGCATGTCATATTGCCTCACACCCATGGAATAAATTTCTGCTGATCACACTTTTAGGTGGTAATGAGAATTCCTTTCTTAACTCAGAAATTCTTAGACTCGTTAGTTTGGTGAGTATAATGGCTGTTAACTGTTAATTTCTATTGTGTTATTACATTGCATTATGACTATTTTAACTGAATTGTTTCATTCAGTTATCACTGGCAAAATATGAGTGAAGACACCATTTATAACAGTGATGACTGGATTATGCTGTAAACTTGGGAAAGCCTTAAATATGTAGATGTTTATATCATTTTTGTTAAGATAAGCTTCAGTCAAAATCTGACAGCCATGGATGATTTTCAGTTAAAAAAACCCCAAAGATTAAAACTATTTGGGAAATCTGTTCATTCATATTCATCCGTTTCAGCTGTTTAGTTGTTTGATAGTTAAAAAAAAAACATTCTTAGGGTTCAGGAACATCCTAATTTCCCTGGCATGAGGATAACCATTACAGTAACCATTTATTTAGCATAGGAATATACATTATCTCATCTCGCCATGAGCCTTCATGTAGGCAATCTACATTTGTCTTTTCTTGTTGTGTGTGAAAAGTTATGTTTCCTGACTTCCACAGACACAAGCAGTGCTATATAGTCTGTCTGCTGCACTTCATTTTTTGTAGGTAAATGACTCCACTACAATTGGCTACTTTGTACAGTAGCAGGAATGGCCCCTCTGCTTCTGCCACTGGTTGCTGCTGTACATTACCATTTTGTCTGATTTACGGGAATGCCTGCTGTCTTTTGAAGAGGCCTTCCCAAAGTGAATTAGTGAAAAGGTTAAGGTGAAAGGCTGGACTTTTTCTTTTTTAATAGGCTTATGGTAAACTAGTGAAAGGCGTATTTTTAAAAAAGCAAGATTTTTTTAAAAAGAGTTCTGCTAATTTCTCCTAGTAGCTGAAGTGACAGTAAGGAAGATTCAATTGTTTTTCCTCGAGCAATCCAATGGTGGATGCAATGGATGGAAGGTGTCAAATATCAGAGAAAACAGCATATGAGAACTTGTATAAAAGAACTTTCAATAAAAATATGTCATCAAAAAGACATGAGTGGGAGGGATAAAGAAGGAAGGAAACCAGCAATCAATGGCTATAATTATTAACACTCATGAATACCAAAACTGAAGTACAGACTGAAATCTAGAAAGCAACTTCTTAAACCAGCTTCATTTATTGGGGGAGACAAACAGTGTAAAGCTGCCTTGTGTCCTTTGACTGATAAATCTTCCTCTATCTGTTTGTTAGTCTTACTGCATAATTCTATATACATCTACTTAGAATACCATATATTCCAAAACTTCAGATGTAAACACTTCTGTGTTTGATAATTGTACAATCATAAAGTTTAGAAATTCTGAAATATTGCAAACTTATCATTAAATGGAAAAATATTTGGCTCATTAATCTAGCAATTTGCTACTTCTGAGGGAAGATTTATCCAAACTTTTAAAATTTGATTATTACTAACATCCATTTTTAAGTATTGTTTAAAAATTGGTTTCAATAAAGCTTGCGGCAGTTAATGGTTGTATTTTTGCTGGATAATAATAATTTAGATCCACTAAAACTAAAATACAACTTTTCCAAGTTTATGAAATATCAGGACATCAGGACTATTTCCGAAATTGAAATTAGCCATATTCTTGAAGAAGCAGCCCATACCAACTTGCTAGAACTTTCTAATGACACAGTCAGTGCTCTTCGCTTGTTTCTTCTTCAGGTAAGAATTCTAGAGATGGAATGTAACTTAAAGTGAAGTTAAACAACTGGCTGTGCTTTCTGCTTCTGCATTTTCTTGTTGTCAGATTGGTTTCTGTAAGGGCTAACTGTTAAAGGACTTACTTCACTTTAAATATACAGTAGTCTGGTCTGCTTATCTGAACCTATTTCTTTTGTCTTTTACTTTCAATAAAAGAATTACTGTTTATGTTTTTCATAGTAATATTGCTGTAAATATGTTTTTGCATTTATTTTATATATTTAATATCTAATTTGTATTCTAGGCTGTTGAGGGAAGAATTAATAGTTATTTATCAATCCTCATAAGTTATCTTAAAAACATACTTGCATGGGAATTTTGAAATGAACCACTTAATTCTTTTTTTAAATAATATTTTATTAATTTTAGATTTAAAAAGCAGTGTGATGGCTGGGTTAATCAATAGTTCAATAACATACAAAAATCTTTAGTACAAATCTCAAGTTACAACATCAAATATTTCCTTTCTTTTCCTCGTAATATCTACTATCTCATATTTAAGCTAATACTGTTCTTATTATATCAACTAAGTAAAAACATCATTATTACATTTATCAATAAATGTTTAGCTTATACATATCTTCATTACTTTTACATTCAATCTTTATAGACAATCAATGTCCTGTTATTGATTTTTTCCCAATTTTTAGTTTTCCATCAATATTCAAATTTAGCATTTGATATTTATAATTTCCAGGCTTTAGGTAACCAAAGTTTCCCTTATCTCAATTCATAACAGAATCTAATATTCAAAATACACATCTTATCCATTTAAATATAGTCTTGTTCTATTTCCTAAAAGTTATCTGTTTCCCACCATATTAAATCATCTAATTAATAATAAATCAAAACCACTATATATATTGTCTGGGTTAATCAATCAAACATATTCATAATATTTTTTTGTTTTCAGTCTAATTTTTAAATATTAAACAAATAAAATCCTTATTTTCAACTAGTTTCCAAATATTTTAAATTTAATGACCAAAATTCCCCTTATCTCAACTTCTCCCTTTAACCCTTTAATTGGTAATATGAAATTTCTCTAATAAATGAAAACCCCAATTTTCTTCAGCCTTATTCTGGCTTTCTTCCTTTGCCAACTAGCCTTCCATATCAATGCTTTTATATCAACAAATAGATCTCCCTCTATTATTATATATTTGAAATAAGAGAGACCATTTAGTTACCATTTTTTTTGGAAGGGCTAGCCCATTTGTATTCATTAAATCATCTCCCTAGTATTCCAGTTCCCCATGATTGTCCTGATACGTTTATCTTTCATTCAATCTATTCTTCTTCCTCAAATTTCTTCTGATTTATATAGAAAATCTTTTCCATTTTCAGTGTTGTCACTCCCTTTTCTGGATTTTCCATTAACTGTATTTGTTGGTCAATTGAGTCCTCTGTCTTAGTATTTGATTGTTCCATTTCTTCTGTTATCTTCTGCATTATTAGTTCTTTGGTTGTAGTCAAAATTTGGGTTTGTGTATCTAAGCTTCTTCTTTTATATTGGGTCTTATTTTGTCACAAACTGAAAAAATGGTTTCATGTATTACTTTCAACATGGAAAGGATCTTTTCCTGGTCTTCATCCGTATTCTCTTAATAATGTGTTAAGTTGAGGACTTTAAAATCAGATGTTAAAAATAATTTTATAACTAGGTATGGGACCTCTATTTCATTTGTTTATAGGTAGTCTTTATAGTAGAAGTTGTTTGTCAAGTAAGATTTTATAGTCCAAGGTACTTCATCATCTCATATAATAACCAATGTTCCTCAAATAAAGAGATAGGAAGGCAATTCCCCACATATAACTCTGAAAGTCAGTAAAGGTTTAAATTCATAGTTCAAGCAGGCCAGTTATGCCGCTCAAAAGTTCTCTTTACAGCTGAGTTTCTCATAGGTGGTATTCAAGGTCGAAAGAGATTTCTCTGAAGTCTGGGTTTCAAGCCAAGTCTCTTTTAGGCAACAACAAGTCGTAATACCAAACTTCGCCATAAGATGTCACCAATGCCATTTAAAACCTTTTAAGTCCCCCATTTTTATAATAGTTTTTCAAAATTTATTTTTTTTCTTTTTAGATAAAAATCAGCATATCCGGTAGAAATAGGAATAAGAAAACTTTTAAGAAAACTTTTTAGTCCCTAAATTTCAAAAGTATATACAGCCAATTAGATTAAAGTTGTTTTTATAATTGCCTGGGTAGTCAGTCACCGCTCTTCTTAGAGGAAGGGGCAGGGATTTCCTTCCTTCTCTCCTCACAGGGGGAAAAATACTTAGGACAGCTTTTGCAGAAAGATATTTAGAGTCTTAAAGAGAAGATCAGATCTCACTCAGTTTCATCCATGTTGCTTTAAACGTGCTTGATAGTAATTTTGAGTTCAGCTGTTAGCAGCTTAGTGATGAGCCATATTGCTATGGCCAGTCTTTCCCCCACCGGTTTGGAGAGCTGCCCCGGATCAAGCGGAAAGGCTGCCGCCCTCCCGCGATCAAGCAGGGATCCTCTCCTTGGTCATTGCCCCTACAAGGCGACTTTCGACCCTTTCCAGGGTCCTCCAGTGGGATGAAATCGAATGCTGAAGACAGAGTTCATCTACATACGTCTGTGATGACCCAGGGCACAGCACAGAGGCAATGCTGTCAACTGGCAATTCAAACAGTTTTTTTATTGCTCCCAATTTTCCCCAAATGCTCCCACATTTGCTGGCAAGCCTCCAACAAAAGATCACACACACACACATCCTTTCAGCTGACTCTGGTTGAAAGTAGGTTCAAATACAGGCTGATTAGCATAAGAAAGTACTCAAGGCCATAGAGATAACAAGGAAGAAAACATAAATTTCACGAGTCCGTTTAAATCCAAGCTTGCCTGAGCAGTTTCCAAAAAAGAGAATCCAAAATACAGTCTGATAGTCAAAGTTTCCAGGTTTCCAAACAGAAGGCATAGAATAAGAGCAACAATACACAACATTCCAATGAATCAGCATTTGTTCCTGACAAATGACCCACCCCACAGCAGCTCCTTAAATCTCAATCCCCAGGTGTGCCTTGTGGAGTGGGGCGGGATGCTCTCCTCCCAAGTAATTGAGCCTGCCTGCGTTATTCCCTCCTTCTCTCCACTCTCTGTGCTCTAGGATCAGGTGGGGTTGGGCATTGCTCATCCCCTGAACTCTGTTTCCCCTGTTCCAATCCTGAAGGGCCCTGGCCTGCCTCAGCCTGCTCTTCCCCAGTCCTCTGAAGCCACAGACACCTCTCCCTCAGCCTCCATAGGGTCCTGTTCCAGCTCCATTTCCTCCTCAGATTCAGGGTCAGACGGAGGCATGACAACGTCCACAGGTGCCAATGGTAAACCGGAAGTCCTGAACCACTTAGTTCTGAGTGCACGTTCCATGAAGTTATGTTTTCTTGCTTCCAATATCAGTACAGAAAATGAAAAAAGTAGAATTGTTTTAAGATTATTTCAGGAACAAAAATATGTAGAATAGACATTGAGTTCATTTAAATACATGTGCTATTCTAGATCTAGTAATACAATAAACATGGACACTATTGCATGCTCCCTTTAATCTTAGTTTTATATACTTCTGATATCATCATCAAAATTTGCTACATTTCTGATTCTGATGCAAACATAGTTGGAGAACCTCCCACCCATAAACAAGCATCAATAGATCCATCAAGGCATAGTATATCTTATTTTGGAGATTATGCATACAGGTATTAGAGTGAATACAGTCTGTTTTGTAGTTGAGTATGAAGCCTTGCAGTTTTATGCCTAATCTACAAAGAAGAGAAATTTCTGATTTCAAAAGAAGGAAAACACATTGAGTCTTTTTATGCATAGGCAAGTTACATGGACGCTCACTATATGGCCAGACCTTGGACTGTTTTTGCAATTATAGGCATTGTAGAAGGAAAGCCACGTTAGTCTATAGTTGCAAAAAAATCAGGAATTGGGTAGCAACTTTTCTGACACAAATTTTGTTAAAAGATACAGGGGGTTGGACTAGATGACCTCCAAGGTCTCTTCCAACTTCATTATTATTATTATTATTATTATTATTATTATTATGATGATGATGATAATGATGATGATGATGAAGATGGATCATCGCACAGTCAGCCAGATGTTCAGACTGGATTTGGCATTTTGTCTACCTATCGAGTCCTTACCCAGGACCTGGGATAGGCAGGTGTAGATGTTTGATGGTATTACAGGTATTGTCGCAGGATGGAAGCAGTTCCTAGTAAGGACACCTTTTGCAATTGACTATTATTATTATTATTATTATTATTATTATTATTATTATTATTATTATTATTCACTTTGTGAATTGAAACTCACTTCATTAGGTGCATCAGGTGCAGTCCACAAAAGCTTATTATGCCTTTCAGTAACATTTGCTAGTTGGAAAAAGCCCTTCAAGACTTCCTGATTTATTGTAATTGTAGTAATTGGAGGAAATTAAACACTGAAATTCTGTAATTTCTCTTCTTTTTTATGTTAGCTTCAAAAAATAAAGTATCAAGTGGATTCAAGTAAAAAAGCTGTGATCCAAACATTGTTGGAGAACCTCCCACCCATAAACAGGCATCAATGGTCCCATCAAGGCATAGTGTATCTTTTTTTGGAGGATATGTATAGAGGTATTAGTGTGAAGTACAGTCTGTTTTGTACTTGAATGTGAAGCCTTGCAGTTTTGTGACTAATCTATCAAGAAGAGAAACAGTTTTATTATCTTGAAAAAAATTGTGATTTTGACCTCTTTATCATTTGAAGATGTGATGTAAAATGTCAGCATTAGATATAAATGAATATATGGGTAGTCCTCAACTTACGAACAGAATTGAGCCCAAAATTTTTGTTGTTAAGCAAGACAGTTAAGTGAATTTTGCTCCGTTTTATAACTTTTCTTGCCACAATTGAATCACTGTGAATCACTGAAGTTAGTAACCCCGTTGTTAAGTGAATCTGGCTTCCCCATTGATTTTGCTTGTCAAGGTCACAGAAGGTGATCACATGACCTGGGACACTGCAGTTGTCATAAATATGAGCCAGTTGCCAAATGGCTGAATTTTTATTAAGTGACTGTGAGGATGCTGCAACAGTTATAAGTATGAAAAATGATCATAGGTCACTTTTTCAGTACCATTGTAACTTTGAACAATCACTAAATGAACTATTGTAAGTTGAGGATTACCTGTACTTAATGCACGATGTTGGATGCAAGATAGTATTTTGGTTATCTATATGCACAGAGTAGTAAATCCAATTTTAATTTTCTCCGTTGAAAACTGCCTTTGCTTTTAGTGCTAAGTTGACAGAAAAATTAGAAAATAAGAAAAATGAAAATCAGTTTTCGATTTGTCATGCCTGTCCTTTACTATTTCCATTGTAACTATGTACATTTTATGAAGAACAAGGAAAGCTGTAAATTCTAAAGTTTATAATAATACTTATGTCCTAAATTCATACTATTAATTTGGGAAAATATTATTTAAAAAAAATAAAAGTGATAGTCTGTGATACTTCAATATACCATTAACATTCATTGAAGATAGATTATAATCAAACCAGGGATCACTTTAATAGTTAATAATAATTCTTTTAACAGTGCTTTTAAGCATTTGTATAAGAATTCCCTTTTGGGGGCCAAAAGGGAAAACTTGCTTGAAAGAAGAAATAGGGGGTTTCTGATCAGATAATAGATATTAATTCTTAACAATGATGATGTTAAAATGACAAAACGTGTGTCATAGAATTTATTTTGTCATTTTCCCTCACTTCTCCATGCTGCAGGTGCCTGCGGGGGAGATGCAGTCTGAGACTCCTTATTTAAACTTTTAACATTTACTCAAGTAATTCTGAGTAAACTTGTAGTTTAAAAGGACAGAACTTAGGCACCAAAGTAGATTTAGAAATTGACAAGGGTTCTAGACTACTTGATAAAAAAATGCATATATTTTGTCAGTGATATAGAATTCTTCCAACTTTGTTGTTCTTAATTCAATTTTGACTTCAGATATCTTGGGAACGTGGCAATATCTACCTCACATATTATAGACTGAAATGAGAAAAGAAAAATTAATGAACATAGTATTATAAACTGAGAAATCAGCTTGCATTTAAATTTTCTTAGCAGTTATAGACATACAGAAAAAATAATGCAAGTTATTTCTTTTTCCTGCAGAAAGATTTAGAAATTTCCTAGATGTTGAAATATAAATTCATAAATAAAAAACTTTAAAATCTGTTTACCGTTGTTCTGGAAATGGCGTAAGTAAAATTATGCACTTCAAGGGTATTTTCTATGCTGTGAAGAATTTGGAAGTAGTACATTCTTGATTATTCTCTTAAGTCAGGGGTGTCAAACTCAATTTCACTGAGGGCCGCATCAGCATTGCGGTTGCCCTTGGGGGGCTGGGTGGGTGTGGCCAGGGTGAGTGTGGCCTATTGGGTGGACGTGGATGGAGTGGGTGTGGCCAGTTCTACATCATTGGCATCAAGGGTGCCTGTGGGGGCCTGGGCAGGAGTGGGACAGATCTGAGGGTCTTTGGCAGAAGGGGGTGGGACCGGGACAAGTGCCAAGATGGCCACCACAAAATTGTACATTGGCTCTCGGCCGGCCTGGGACAGGGCCAAGGCAGCGGGGGCCATTCCCTCACTGTTTCCAGGATGGCTTCGCGGACTACATGAAACCACTTCGTGGGCCGCATCCGGCCCCCGGGCCTTGTGTTTGACATATCTGTCTTAAGTGCTTGATCTCTGTAAACAAAGTGTTTTATAGATTTCATAAGTGATTTTTTTTTATTAATATAGAAGTACTGTGTTTTTTATAGCTAAGCAATCACTTGTAGTTCAAAGACTTTAACAAGAAAAGGAGTTTATAAAAGTAATAAACTGAAAACAAGGAGTAAGAGTAATATCTTATCCATATAAGGCAGAGGTGTCAAATTGCTGGCCCGTGGGCTGTTTGCATCATGCGGAGGCTGCACCCACCCCAGCACTGGCAATGCGAAAAAAAAGTCACGATGTGTTGCAACAGATCATGTGACACGGCAAATTTGACACCCGTGATATACGGTATTAACATTTTAAGAGAGAAAGAGGGTAAAGTTATTAGCTGGAAGGGCAACTAAAGTCTGTGAGGGGAAAAAAGATCAATACTAGGTCTAGCCTATCTAGCGTACCACTACTTCAGGAAGTCTGCTCCTAAAGTTTGTGTGTCTATTAAAGTATTAGCACATTTTCAAGATGTGATGGAAACTTGAAAAAACAGGTTTCTTAATGAGCAGCAGTGTGGTACTCTGCTTGCATGTCAAAAATTGCCAAATAATTTTCAGAACATTTACAGAGTTTCTGGTACTACATGGTCATGGCAGTTTTCTTGGCAATACAGACATGTTTTTTAATTGCCTTCCAGCTTTTTTTTAAAAATCCCAGCCTAACCTATAATGCAGGGATTTCACAGGATCTCTAAATTATTGACCTGATCTGTTCCTGCTTAATAGTTTTTGAATTAAGTCCAAGTTGTCTAAGATGCTTATTTGCCTTTAATCACTTTCATTCTCATCAGAATCTGCAACAAACTATGATTGTCTAAATGATGATGCACAAATGATAGTGTTAGGATAGAAACTGTCTTTATATACTTTTGTCTTATAGGCTAATGCAAGTATATAAGCTGCAGTTTGCATCTTGATGCATTTTTTGGCACTTGTCCCCTAATTCTCAACTTCCTGGCTGCAGTAACATGAAAAAAATAACCTGAACCAACGAATAATTTTATCCTTAACTCTAGCTCAATGATTAGTATTTAAACTGATTGTAATTAAATCTTTAGTTCTCCTTTTTTAACAATTATAATTTTTTCATACAAGATAAATGCTGATTACTATTTGCCATTTCTGCAGATCAAATGCTCAATCTCTAAGACTGAAAAAAAAATATGGATATAATGGGCTGAGTCATCTGTATGATGTCTAGTCTGCTAGTTTTGAAAGTTGCTCAGCCAATCTTCACAATCCAAGATTCAATGGATGCGTTTGTGAAATGGTAAATAATTACCATTTTATTACTGAGAAAATATGATTAGGCTGGCATAATAGCTGCCATTTAGGTACAGAGAATAACTGCACTTTATAACATCTCTATAAATAAGGTGCAATCTCATAATATTTTTCTGCATACAAATGCCAAACCTAAATATTTGATCATGAGGGTCCTAAAGATTTGCTCTTCCTGCAATAGAGCTGTGGAATTCAAATCATTAGAAGTAACAGAGAGCATCGTTACCAAGAATATTAATTTTTACTGAAACAATATTAGACACCAAACATGTTTTCATTAATATTTCTATTCCTCCTTCCTCAATTATCAACTCTTCACACGTTCCTGATTCACTTCCGTAATTCAGAAAAGGGCTTTACAACTGTAAGTCAAAAATCTGCAATTTCAACGAACCAATGACTATATAATAAACAAAAAAGAAAGGAACCGACAAAATTACAGTCGGAACTACAATGCAGGGGACTTTGGGAAGCCGGTCGAGGAAGTGACGTATTAGTGTAGGGTATGTGGTTTGCTAACAGTAGGACCAGTCAGCCGAAAAAAGGTACTGGGAAAAGGAAGCGATGTTGCAGCGTGACAGTCTCGTTGGAGTAAAATCCTGCTGTGGCGAATGGTTGATTGAGGCAGCTGGTAAGCATTTTTGTTAGGCGTCTAGTAGTGATTGGTTGGATAACAAGCATTTATCCCGGTCTGACGTGGGAAAAATATTCAGGGTATATTGCTGTTGAACTGCAGATTTTGAGAGATGATCTTGAACTGCAGGGCAAGCGGGAAAATACATAGTTTACCCAGTGCCGATTCTCCGCTACTCAAATGCTATAGAGAAGGTTGCATGCAGGAAAGGATACTGCTAGGGAAGAGAGGCCCAAATGAGGTATTAATATTGTGAAGCCTAATGAATCTCTTAGGAGCGGCAAGTAGAAGACAGAAGGTCCCCCTCTCTTCTCTGTGGTGATAGGTCTCTCTTCTCTCATTTTAGTAGATGGTTAAGCAGTTTCGAAGCACATGTGCCAAAATCCCGATTCTTTTATATTCCTTTCCGTTTTTAATCGAGGACCTCGACTCCCGTAATTCAATCGGCATGTTTTAGACTCGCCACACCACTCGCGGGAAAAGAGCAAGCCAATTAAATTGCCTGAAGTGGGACTTTGAAAAGCGAAGATTCCGCCGCGTTAATAAAACTACTTTCGAGCCCAGCTTGACTACTGATGGCTTCGCAGACAAGTCAGTGTAGCGATTTTGGCAACAAGCTCGATAAAAGTTTATTTTTTGTTATATGAATATATTTTGTAAAGCAATATTATAAATAAATAAGCTATCTACATATTTAACTCTGTTCATCTAAAATGCTTGATTGCCTGGTAGAAAAAACTTTAAGTAATTACTTCCAAGTACACTTTTTATATTCAGTTGGGTAGCCTCCTCTTAAATCTCTAAAATAATTCTCAGGCAACTACTGGCATTCAGGTTAATTTGTTTTATCACTTAGAGTTTAGCTTCAGCATGGGCTTTTTACCTCCACACTGAAATAACAATCTTTAGAAGTAATAGAGTGGCTATTATATTAACTTCCGTCACGAGGACCTGTAAGTGCACTATTGAATCCATAGCTTTCCCCTCTTTCTGAAGCTATAGCCCTATCATTGAAAAAATTTAACTTTTCTACCTCATGAGAAACTACATTGAGTTTTGTGCAGTGACTGATTCTTATTCCTTTATCCAAGACTAAATTAAAGATCAGGTGTATTGGAGAAGCAGATTCAGAAAAGATAGATTGTGTTGATATTGTATATCTGAAATGTCTTATATCCACCACAGATTAAAAATGTTGGGTTATCAGTCATTCATGCTATTACTGTAAATTCTTTTGTCTTGGATAATTTACTGAAACTCAAATCTGCACAGCTTTTGAAAGGAAGCTTTTATCTATATAAATATAAAAAATGATTCATAAAAGTGACTTATGACCATTTTTCACACTTACCACTGTTGCAGCATCCCCATGGTCACCTGATTGAAATTCAGACTCTTGGCAGCTGGCTCATATTTATGATGGTTGCTGTGTCCTGGGGTTATGTGATCATCTTTTGGGACCTTCTGACAGAGTCAATGGGGAAGCCAGATTCACTTAACAACTGTATTACTAACATATTACTGCAATGATTTACTTAACAACTGTGGCAAGAAAGATTGTACATGCAAAATTCATGTAATTATCTTCCTTAGAAATAGAAATTTTGGGCTCACTTGTCATAACTCAAGGACTGCCTGTATCAGTTGTCCATGTGTTCTGATCCTATGATCATTTTGTGTGTGTCCATTTCTGCAGCTTTTCAAGTTTGATTATATCTTTTTTCAGAAGGGCAGTCAGAATGGTTTCATATATAGCAAGAAAAAGATCTGATACCATGAGCCTGTTTTACAAGGTTGATCCCATGGAAAAGCAATTCTAGTATGGGTGTTCAGGTTTGAGGACCTAGGTAAAAGTATGACTATTATATAGTAGTGGGGCTTCTGGTTAAAAAAATAAATCAAGACCTGATTATCATTTGTTGGTGTGTTTCTGGCAAGATTTCATTTTGCATCACTTTGATTCATCAGAATGTTCAGCATATGAAACAACAAACATGAGATACTATATAGTATATCTCTGTAACTTGTATCCTTTATTGTGTTAAGAAGCACAGCATTTGCAGTGTAAGTAATTTCTATTAGTTATATTCTAGATCTAGATGATATTTACTTGTGCTTTTTTCATTTTCATTCAGAAATTTATTGAATGCACATTTCCTTCTCAACAGATTTCTTTGCTTATATAGTCTCTCCTTGTTTTTCCACAGTTTATGACTAAATTGAGTCAGTTACAGCATGTTTAAGGATTATCCTTTAAAGCTATTTGACGGTATATTTGAAATTATAGTACAATACTATATAATGATTCAATGTTTAAAGATGCACAAAGTTAAAGTTGTGTTAAGGTTTAGTTTAAAACTATCCAGGTTGCTGTTTCACTTTTCAGTAAAATGAAAAATACAGTTTTGCTAATATGATTATTGTGTTCTCTGACCATTGGGTATTCAGGAGAATATTTATAGCTCAGAGTTAAAATGAGGAATCCTTGATGCTCTCTGAGCTTGGTTGTTTTCTTGCAGATGTTTCATCACCCCAAACTAGGTAACATCATCAGTACTAGCACCTAGTTTGGGTAATGAAATGTCTGTAAGAAGACAACAAAGCTCAGAGAACATTGACTCCTTATTCAGGAATGATTGAAGACCTTTCTGTTTCTTTGCAATTTCTTTGGATAGATCATGTCCACCATATGATAATGTTCTTTTTAAGGATTTTTGGCATTTTGCTTTTTTCCAGTTTTGTGAATGCAAGCAGAGCATCCTGCATCCAGCAGCTGTTTCCAAGATAGCAGATTGGTTAATGTTTTCTCTAGAAATAGATGCCATGGACAATAATAATGTGGGAAGAATGGTATTGTGAAGTATCAGGATTTCTATTCCAGAATTTACTAATAAATTCTGGTTTCTCATTTATGAGTTGCCCAAAATATTTTTATTGTTTTTTACTCTCAATCTAGTATCCTTAGCAAGCTTTCTCTTTTTCAGTGCCTTGGAAAGTAAGATATATCTTAGCACATTGTGATTTTTCTTATTTATGTTTTCTGGAATTATACTTAATTGGTTTCAGTTCATATTTTATTTTAAGGATTTTCTAAACAGATTGATTTATTACTTTCCAGTACTCTTCTGAGGTTTTTTAAATATAACCATCACATGTGCTATCTATTGAAGAGATACTGAATGCCTTAAGTATGTATTGACTAATGCCCTTTACCAGAGATATGTATATAGCACTGTAGATACTAAAATCACAGCAGGAATAAACAAACACAGTTCCTGCTTTACTGTAGTGAACTCATAGACTGAATATCCTGAATCCATTTTAGTAACTTGAATTGATTTTGGATATATATTGCCAAATTAAACATGAGTGACATTCAGATTGTCTCTGAGGCAGGTAAAGAAATGATTGGAGAGGAGTTTATGGCTAAAATTTGGAACATATTTATTTATTTATTTTGATCCCAGCTTTATTGTCCTTATAAATAACTCAATATGGTAAATATATCTAATGCTCCTTTCTCCTCCTACTTTTCCCACTACGACAACAAACCTGTGAGGTGAGTTGGACTGAGAGAAAGTGACTGGTCCAAAGTCACCCAGCTGGGTTTTATGTCTAAAGCAGAACTAGAATTCACAGTCTCCTGATTTCTAGCCTGGTGCCTTAATGCTAGACCAAACTGTCTCTTGTTCCTGATGTACTACTATTCACAGATATAATTATAATGAGACCTAACTGGATTGACACTATGTAACCATTGTCTGTTATGGTGTATGCTTTTATATGTTTTTAATTTGAATTATGTAACATTGTTATTTCTCTGTCACTATCTTTTTTCCTCCAATATAGGTTTTTAAGAATGGATTATTTTGTGGCTTGCACATTTCTCTTTACACTCGTATTACCAAGAGGTATGACTACTGACACAGAGAAGAAAACCTCAGATTCAGGATTGGAAATCTGTATCCTTCTTTCAGTTTTGGGTCTTGGATTTGAAATTGGCCACCCCTGTATTTTATAGATTGACTAGGAGCAAGATGGAACTTCCTACTAAATTGGGACAATCTTGAGGCATCATGTTGGAATCCCTCTGGATTCATTAGAGACTCTTTTAAAGGGCCCGCAGTGTTGCAGAATTCCAGGGTTGCTATAATGTGCAGTTTGACAAAGAATGATCTGGCTGTAACAAAAGAAAACATTAATGTCTTCCATACTCATATCCTACCCAATGTGTTCCAAAATGAAGACCAAATCAAGTATGTGCTCATCCATGTATTTTGGAGCCACAATTATTTCTGACAATCCCATGGTTGCCATAGAATCCATCAACACTGAAAAACCTGTCCCATCCCCCAGTCATGGAGGTTGAAGTCATGCCAAATTGAAAGTCTCGGGAACTCCAATACCAACCTGAGATGAGTTTCGGGTGCTCATGCAGGCCCCTTCTGAGCAGCTAGGTAATCAGCACTTTAGCCCATTTCAACATGCAAGCATTCACAACCAATCATTTCTAGAGCAATGCTACTTGTCACTTCAAAACCAACTTTGGTTTTGATGTTGTGACTGTAGTAGGATTGGAAATCATCTGGAAAATTTCCAACGTACCCATTTTTGTACAGTCCGGTCTCAATAATATATATCGGGTTCATGTGTTTGTCTCCTATCTTATCATAGATGAGTGCAGTCTTATTCTGCATAGTCTGGTATTTACCAATAAGACCTAAAGACAGAGGCACCTGAAAATTCAATCACCTGAATTTGGGTGACTAGTATATTTCAAGTTGGATTTGTAGATTTCTGTTAGGATAGGTACTTAGATACTGTAGTTAAAATAAACAGCTACTTGGGGAAATGTTTATCTTTGAAGAAATATAATTAAAGGCAAAAAAATAGATTGGGGGATTATGCTATGTATTGTTATGTTGATGAGATCATAGAACAAAATATGGGACTTCTGTATGGTATGCTTGACCAAGTCACAGATAAGAAATTGTTTGAAGTAAAGCGCAAAGACCAAATGAATGCACTGAAGAACCTGATTGAACTCAATGATGTCAACCAGCAGTACAAGATTATAGACATCATGCTCAAGGGTCTTTTCAAAGTAAGCCTTGCTTAACTGAGCCTTAATTTTTTTTTATTATAGCATATTTCTTGAATACTCCTAAAGCAGGATTAGGAAAATAATGGAAAGTATAGTCCCCATGTCATTAGCTAATTGGACTGTGAGCTAATTCAACAGAGGGAGGAAGCACATTCACCATCCCACAAAGTAAATTGTTGAAAAAATTAGCAGCGGCCATTCTCAGCAGTTCTCGTTTATGATCTGGCAGCCAAGTGTTTGGGAAGAGAAGATGGTATCCTCGACCTATGACCACAATTTAGCCCAACATTTCTGTTGCTAAGCAGGACAGTTAAATGACTTTTGCCCCAGTTTATGACTTTTCTTGCCATAGATGTTAAGTGAATCACTGCATTTGTTAAATTAGTAACATGGTTGTTAAGAGAATCTGGCTTTCCCGTTGACTTTGCCTTTCAGAAGGTCAAAAAAGGTGATCATATGACCTCAAGACATTGCAACAGTCATAAATATATACAAGTTGCCAAGCAGCCAAATTTTGATCACATGACCATGGAGATGCTGCAACGGTTGTAAATGTAAAAAAGGGTCATAAGTCACTTCTTTCAATGCCGTTGTAACTTCAGATGTTCACCAAATGATGGTTGTAATTTCTTAGGCATAGGTTGGAGTTTACAGTAGTTACCTGTAAATGTTTTTATCAGCTACTTTTTCATGGGTTTTATCTTCATGGCAAAGGTTAATACAGGAGGACATTTTCAACAGCTATTTCAACAATATATCTTGACTACATTCACTTAATTCTTTCCTATGCCCTAATATGGAGCATCAAGACCTATTTCTTAGTATAAAAATATAGCATCTTGATATGTTTTGGATAATGATTTTTTTGGTCGTGGTTGAAGAACTTTAGTCTTAATCTGACAAAATGTATGTGGTACCTGTACTTCAGATACTAGGGCAGCCTCTAACCTGATGCCCTTCAGATATCTTATAATACAGATTCCATATTTCCTTCCCAGAGTATATTGAATTTGGGTTAGCTGGGTATTTTATTATTCTGCAAATTGTAATATTATTCTGCCATGGCACCTTTTCTAAATTCTCTAGCCCAGGGGTATCAAACTGATGGCCCGTTGGTTGGACACATCATCGGGAAACCATGCCCACCCCATTGCTGGCAATGGCAAAAAAGCTCTAATACGTTGCGCGATGTCACGTGACGTCACGAGTTTGACATGTCTGCTCTAGCCTGTTAAATTTACACCAGCTAGGTATCTTCATCCAATAGATTAGAAGAAAAGATTGGGCAAGGAGGATTTTAGGAGGGATTTGTTGGCACACATGTCCTTGTTGGGGCAGAATTGGCATAAATTGACATGAATTTCTGTTACAATGTGCAGGTTCTTGAAGATTCACGAGCAGTACTCATAGCAGCAGATGTTTCACCAGATGGGCCATTTTCTCATGATGAGAAGATCAAGGATGGTACAAACATTTTGCTTTCTAATCACAGTTTCTTTGTCCATTATCTTTTATCCATTAAATGTACAGCTTTGAGTTGTTAAGCAATACAGTTCTGACATACTGGCTACTCTTTCTTAGTCACTTCTGTTTTTGTGCATTGTTATTTATAATCATCATAAGATCATCATAAGTTGTGAATAGAGCCACATGCATTATGTATGAAACTTGAAACAGATCAGAATCTTGCTATTTTATTTTAGTATTTGAAGGGAAAATAATATTTTGAGGGATGACATGATTGATACTTTGATTATGGATTTCCTCAATTAAATATCCATTTAATTCCAGGTGTAGATATCAATAAATAGGTATCTAGGTATTCATATAGAAATGTCTACATTAAAGAAGTTAACTTATGTTCTAAGGTAGAGATCAGTGCTCTTTTTTAAGCACTTAGGTAACATTTAAATTTCCAAATGCTGCACTTCATTAGTCTGGATTAATGATATGCCTTATTTTTATGCTTAATCACTAATATAGATGAGAATTTTTACTCTTCTGTCTTCCCTTTCTTTCCCTTGATAAACATAGATTAGGAAAAATGTTTTATTTTAATTAATACTTAATGCAAAGCAATGGTTCAAGTGTGTTGAATAATTAGATTGTTCCCAAAAACCTGGAATTGGTCTGAGTTTTTCCTTGTAACTCTTTTTTCTTAGCCTATTCTCATGTGGTGGAGAATACTGCTTTTTTTGGGGATGTAGTCCTACGTTTTCCCAAAATAGTGCATCACTACTTTGATCGCAATTCCAATTGGAACAACCTTATTCGCTGGGGGATCAGCTTCTGCAACCAGACAGGCGTATTTGATCAAGGTCCCCACTCACAAGTATTAGGATTGGTAAGATAGTATGCCTGCTTGGCACTTCCTCTCAGTTTGTTTAAACATTTAGAATTGGGTAGTAATTCATACAAATTGGGTTAAAGTTTGAGGAAAAATATATTTGCTTGAAATGTTTAAGAATGTACAAATAGAAAAAAATGTGGAGGAACCTCATGAATCTGCACATAGTTAAGTGTTAATGTTAGATATATTCTAATATGAATGATTGTAAGTTCTTAACAAATATTTTAAATAGTCTTTTATATGCTGTGTTCGTCTGTTCACTGCTCAGAGTTTCTTCTGATAGATGGGCAGCTATGTAAGTTTGTTTAATAATAAATAAGTGAATGTATAGGCATTTTACATATTTTACTTAGATCAAACTTCCCCAACGTTTCCAGCTTTGCAGACAGGTGAGGGAGAGGAGATGGTTCCACGTGAGCAGCTTGCAAGTGCATGTGTGCACATGCAGCTCCATTTGTATGAGCGGCGTGCATGCATGCCTCTGGCTCACACAGATGGAGCACACAAGCATATACTCACCTGCTGCTTGCACAAGTGAGGATGCTCGCCAGCCATTTCTGTGGCCTGGTTGCAATCCCCTCACAGCACACTAGTGAGCTGTGGCCCACAGGTTGGGGACCCCTGACTTAGATGACTGCTTTACTCAAAAGTTGCATACTTATTACCACAGATAATTTGCATTTTGTAGTATATACATAGACATATAGAAATGTACTGATGCCATCTTAATAGCATATCTGCATGCTCTTATAGCCGTTATTTTGGTCTTTGAATTTAGCACATGTGTACTTTCTAAGTTGGGAAGTGGAAAAAGCGGTCACGACAAAGACTACAACCAACAACTTTGGTATTGTTATGCAAAAAAATTTCTTGGATATGTGTATAAAAATCACCAGGAATTAAGCTTAATTAGAAGGAGACTGTTTTTTCCTCTTCACATTGTAATACACAATGTCTATTTAAAATCTTTATAATTTGCATAGCTGAGTTATGGTGGTTATAGAATTAATAGGTCAGCTCAGACATTCCATTCAAAAGTTGGTATCATGCAGGATGCTTTATTTTACTGCTTTGAGAGAATTTGCCTTTAAAATACCA